CAACAATTGGAAAGGAATAGATTTATAATAACCCGACATTTAAATATTAAGCACTCGCATACGCATTAGGCGATTTTGTTAAAATTTGTCAGCTTGAACAACATGTACAATAATTTAACCCCATGTGCTCCAACTGTTTTTTAGCTGTGTCATTTTTTTTGCAAGCTATTTTGAAAGTGTTTCTCGGTGACACAATTTTTATGTTAAAAAGGTTTATTATTTGCAACAGTTTTTAATCAGATAACCTACTTGATGTTCATTTTAATATTTATACCGAATGCTTTTGCAAATCTTGCTTGCTGATGTCTTTAGCGCTGTTTTTCTAACCATTCCGTTTTTTTACAACTGCATAATGTATAACCTACATGAAGGGAGACCGAATGATTTATAAAAAAATGAGCAAATTGGAAAACATGGCTTTAAAGACATCACTGCGCAAGATTTGCAAAAACTTTCGGTGAAAAAAGTTTGATTGCTTTTCTAATGGTTTATTTGACAGTAAAATATTTGCATATTTGTCATTCTTAAATGCATTAATTCTTCTCAATACAAACTGGAATTGGAATGCCTAACAAAACGGTTATAGTACCATGGTCATATTTAACATGTGTTGACTTTAAGCTAGCCTACGTCCTTCAATTGCTATTTACTTTGTCCTTTTTGTGCGGAGGCAATTTCAAGCGGACGTCTCAGCAACACAATTCTCACTCTAAAAGTGATTAATATAATTTACAATTAGATGACCCAGAGGAAGTCCAATGACCTATTCTACGAAAGCTTTTTGCAGATCTTGCACGCCGATCACTTTGGTGACAATAAACGCTTCGGAAATGTCATCAAAACATATTGAAACCTTTAGTTAAAACTATTCCGATTAATGGGAGAGGTGAAAAGGAAAATGTTTTAGGTGGTAAAAATGTGAGGAAGTCTTCAGTAATGAAGAAGGTAACGACGATGACTGTGAAACAGGACTAATTTACGATAAATACGATATTTTACTCCACCAATGCATATTTTTATTCAAAATTGCTATTCATTTCTTTATAGATAATTACTTCCATTCCTTGTTTTTCCCGTGATCAAGCACAAAGTCGTCCATTGTAGGAATAAAAACGGGCTGGCTTCGCTACAGAAATGATGGATTTCAGAACTATCTTTTGCACAATATGAAGGTAGTTGTTTATAATGTGATTGCTAGTTTAAGAAAAATCGCTTTGAATACTTTCAAGCAGCAAAATGGTTTATCGAGTTCAGATCTTAGTTTTGCGTGAACAATATTTTACTTCTCCTAGATCACCTTCACTGTTTCTTTTACCTAATTTTAACAAATGATATCGAAAAAATTATAAGAGGGCTTAAAGAAATTAAAGTGACAATTAGTTTCATAAAAATAAATAATCAATTATCCTGATCCAACAGCAAAAGCTTCTTGCGCCTTTAAAAATCCACTTTATTCTAATTTGCCGTGGAATTTCATTTATGAATTTTAGAGGTCTGTTTTATTTTAGAATCGTGAAAAGATGATTTCCCATTTACTTATAAACAACTATTTCAAAGTTCTATGTCACATCAGCACGGAGAAGTGAAGATCGAGTTTTTACTTCGTGCATGCTGGTCGCACTTGTAGATGCCATGTCATTAATCAACAAACTAAAATTAATTCTGACCTTGATTAAAAGACGAAGAATTTAAACCAACGCTAAATAGATCGTGGAAGACTTTTTTGTTTCTTCACTTCTAGCAATAACTACATAATTTGTAAAGACATATGAATCAATGCCAAATGATCAAAAAGCACTATATAGTGTTAGATATGACAAATCCCATTCAAGGGTTAAAAATTTCTTAAGAACTTTCTTTAATTTAAGTTTAATTAATTCAAAAATTATGTATACGTAGAACTGTTGAATTATCAATCATGAATAACATATTTATGCACATTTGCATATTAATTAAGGAATATATATTAGCTTTCACTTCACTTCTTACACCACATCAAGGAGAGCTCTTTGGATGAGAAACAGCAGATCAAATAAAACAGTAGTACATTTTTTACAGTAGTAATACTAAGGTAGTAGTACTTTTACTTAAGGTAGTTTTAGATAAAATTAATAAAATTTCATCTTTTCTTTTAAAGATATATGCTGTCAAATGTTTTATCAAATGCAAAGATTGCTATTTGATACTAAAATCTTACCAAAGTAGAATATTTAGTCACCCTTGATTGGTGTCTCTAAAAGTTTGTTCTCTTAACCAATGTGTCCTGGTATTTGAAAGGAAGGAAAATCATTGCTCATTTTGAATCTAGCAATAATTTTTTAAAGCTATCGCCCTTCAATCGGAATAGCTTTTTAAAGGTTTCAATATGTTTTGACCACATTCCCGAAGCGTTTATTGTATTTGAATTATTGTGGTGTAGTTTTCTATACAGAATGCATAAAACGGAATAGTTGGAAAAAGGTCACCAAAGTGAACAGCGTGCAAGATATGCAAAAAGCTTTCGTGGAGTAGGTTGTTGGACTCCCCCTGGGTCATCTAACTGTAATTTATATTAATCACTTTTAGAGTGAGAATTGTGTTGCTGAGAAGTCCGTTTGAAATTTCTTACGCACAAAAAGGACAAAGTAAATAGCAATTGAAGGCCGTAGGCTAGCTTAAAACAACACATCTTAAATATGACACATAGTGCTATAACCTTTCGCTAGGCATCCCAATCGCAGTTATATCGAGGAGAATTAAGGCATTTAAAAATGAAAAATTTGCAATAATTTTACTATCAAATAAACCATTAGGAATCCAATCGAAATTTTTTGCAAATCTTGCGCAGTGATGTCTTTAAAGCGATGTTTTCCAATCTGTTCATTTTTTATATAAATCATTCCGCCTCCCTTCTAGTAGGCTATACAGTATGTAGCTCTAAAAAAACGGAATGGTTACAAAAACATCGCTAAAGACATCAGCAAGCAAGATTTGCAAAAGCATTCGGTATAAATAGTAAGTTGAACATCCAATAGGTTATCTTATTATAAATTTTGGCAAATAATAAACATTTTTAACATAAAAATTGTGTTACCAAGAAACACTTTCAAAATAGCTTCCACAAAAAATGACTCAGCTAAAAAAACATTTGGAGCACATGGGATCAAATTATGGTACATGTTGTACAAGATGACAAATTTTAAGAAAATTAACTAACGCGTATGCAAGTGCTTGGTATTTAAATGAAGGTTATTTTAAATCATTTCGTTTCGAATTGTTGTTTTGTTAGAATTCTCCATCATTCAAATACGAATAGTTTATAAAGTGTTTAAAGAGATGGACAATTAAAAAGGAAAATCACAAAAACAAAAATTTTTCGTTATATTCTCCATTAAGTTTTAATTTTAGTCCAAAATTTCAATCATTAGTTCACTATGGCCAGCGGTAACTATACTCACAAAATTATAAAAAAAAACATTTGTTAAATTTAAAAGCACTTGATCACATGCAAACTCACGCAAAAAGCCAATCAAGATTACATAACTCTGACCTTCTGACATGTAAGAGTAATGAAGTTTAAAAACTATACTTTGGAATCATACTATAACTACTATACTTTAAAAATCTCTTGGTTTCATACAAATATCCAATGTCAAATTAAATATTCATTTTCGATACACAATATGAACAGACAATTTAAAACTAAGCACATCCGGACCACGGCCAAATGCTCTTTACTCATTCAGTCCCTATTAAAGTAAAAAGCTAAAAAGTTGTTTGGAAGTTTATTGTTATATTGTATGTAACAAATCAAGTAAAATTATCAGAATTCTATTGGAAGTCTAATTGCTCGATGTCCGTTTACTTAACAACTACTGGTAAGGTTGAGCATGATATCAAGAATTATTCAAACCGAGGTCAGTGTTATCTGAAAAACAGAGATATACCGAGGATAATTAAGAAATATATTTGGCTATTTTTGTAAAATCGTTTGCAAACAGAAAAGGTATTTGGAAGAACACGAGAGCTGATCAGTGGAAACCTGAGACCGAGAAAATTGTGTTGTACCTGCTTGAGAGTTTAACAAACATTTAATGTTTGCCTTAGCCAGTTGAAAGACGGAAAAATCTTTAGATTTTTTTGTTAATTAGAAATAATGCAAAATAGGTAAGATTAGAAAAAATGTTTTGATTTTTCCTATGACATGGTGTGACGAATAATTTACACAATCTCATTCGGTGGTCTAATAGATTGAGCTCAGATCGGTCTGCGTTAGATATTGTAAACTTGGCTACTGAAGAATCAACACACGCTTTGTATTGTTGCTTTTTTAATAAAGCATTATCAAGGATAGTTTAAACTCATTGAAAATGCAAACAAAAGTAATTTAGGTACACGGAACCCATTATTTTCTTTTAGAAACTTTGCTGACGTTATGAATCATTTGCGTATTTTCTTTGCAACACTTTTATTGATCGTCATTGCACAAGCGATGAAGTACAAGACTTTGACTGACGACAAACCAGATTTATGTTGTCGATTACATCTAAGGGTGTGTTGTCGTGGAGGTAAGAGAAAAATTTTAAAGACTTTCATCTCTTACATCAGAGGATGCAAGCTGACTTACCAAAAAAATAATCTCATCCCTGCTGTATATGCATACATTACCTTTCAAGCAAGTTTTTCTCTCCTACAATGCAAATAATTTTCATTCAATCACTGCAAAGACAATGAGTCATATTAATCTTCTGAAGATTGAAATAATAAATACTTTACAATTTTTCATTGTTGGAATAAAAGATGGGAAAGATGGGACTGGCTTCACCACTGTCGATGGGAATTTAATACATTTTTTTAGTCGACTTTTATCATCTGATATAGTAGATATAAAAACCATTTTAATTTATTTCTAATCTCAAGAACTTTGCATCTTAACTCTGTAACCTGTTATTGTTCAATACTTCGTAGTAGGTGAGAACAAAAGTGATGAAATCCTAAGTGACAAAGAAGTCAAGGATAGGGTTGGTGAAATTGGAATTATTTCAAAGGGAAAAAAACGTGATGAAATCCTAAATGACAAAGAAGTCAAGGCTGGGGTTGGTGAAATTGGAATTATTTCAAAGGGAAAAACGTGATGAAATCCTAAATGACAAAGAAGCCAAGGCTGGGGTTGGTGAAATTGGAATTATTTCAAAGGGAAAAAACGTGATGAAATCCTAAATGACAAAGAAGCCAAGGCTGGGGTTGGTGAAATTGGAATTATTTTAAAGGGAAAAAAACGTGATGAAATCCTAAGTGACAAAGAAGCCAAGGCTGGGGTTGGTGAAATTGGAATTATTTCAAAGGGAAAAAAACGTAGCAAAATCTTCAGTGTTGAAGGACACAAAAGTAAAGATTTTGAAATAAAAACTATTTTAAGATGAATGATTGATTTTAGAATTTCCTTTTACACAGTATAAATACAGTTGTCTTGTTACTTGAAATTTTTTGATTAATCGGTAAACCTCTTTGTTAGTTAATGTAGAATCATTTCCTTAATTATACACTTATGCAGCAAAATTATTTTTCAAGTTTACATTCTAGATTTATTTAAAGCATATTTTCCTTTCTTCAGATCACCTTCCTTCTTCCTTATACTTTATTTTGACAAACGAATTGTAGCCTTCCTTAAAACTCTCGGCGGGAATAACGAATTATATTTCATGATAATTGTAAACATAAACACGAATTAACTTTTTACAAAGTCAAATACTAATAAATAAAGGAGCTACCTAAGCCCTGTACTTTTTTGACGGGAAGGGGTAAGAAGGTCAGTGATGTTTCAAAGCCTCTTTGTATCAAAGAAATCTGTTGAACTCTGGAGCAAAACTAGAACGCTAATTGGGAGGGGGGGCTGAATATTTACATTTTCAGCTCTGTCCTATTGATTTTCTTTGCTAGCAATTTTAATATCAAAAGAATGAGCTGAATATACGATAATTCTCCCTCCCCAAAAAAATTTAGTGTTCTAGTTTTGCCACTGGTTAAACTTCGTGAAGAATAAAGAAAGGCAATATACTTAGTATGAGCAATAAAGCAGTGTCATGAAATGCTTCTATATAAATAATCAATTAATTGTTTAGAAATAAGAATTTTGATTCGTATGCTGGTTTATAAATAATCAATTAAGTTTAATATGTTTATTAGTAAATAAACAATTATACCATTTCATTTGTATCAAACCACGAGAAAATTCACATATAGCTTTCATATATAATTTTTACACATGGCGCCTCATACCTGACTACATGCGTATTACTTAACAAAACATAGTGTTTAGTCATGCATATTAAATAAGCAGAATAGAAACTATAACCTCAGAGGCAATTTTCTTCAAAGTGATTCATACAAAGGACACAGTGGCAGATCTAAGGTAAGTCAAATATTTAAGGAATATATTTAAAATTCAACATACTCTTGTAGCAACGCTGTTAGTTAGAAATTTGTAAAGTATATTTGTGGCTAAAATACTTTCAATAGGATTAGTGCATTGTACAGTAAATTGAAAATATATACTTTAACAATATGTTCTGCATGACCTACTGTGGCCCGCTTCTCTAACGACATTAAAATATGTTGAACCTATGCGGCTTGCACTTTTACGAACCTTTACAGAATAACACTATTTGATTTGATGTAAGTTAAAGGCAAAAATTTATACAAATATTTTGAACATACGAAACGTTTGCTTAAACACACTTTAGTGTCAGTTTTACACGGTTGTACATATCAATAGAGGCGGCTCTGCCCTAGAAAATATTAGAGAAGATCAGTACGTGGCACCTGCTTGAGAGATTCACAAATGTCTCTGAGATTTTCATGAGCCAATTCAAACAAAAAAACAATCCTATAAGTTATTTGTAAAAAAGGAACAATGCAAACAGACAAATTAAAAATGAATGTTTTAGCTTTTTTTAATATATATTTATAAATGATTTGTAAATTCTCTTCTGTGATTTAATTGATTGAGTTAAGATCAGTCTGCACAGGCTTTTGCAAACTCAGTTATTGAGAAAGCATTGCATGTGTTTTGTTGTTGTGTTATTGTTATTAGATGAAGTATAGTCAAAATTCATTGCAAATTCAAACAAATGAAATGTACTTACATGAAATCATTTGTCTTCTGATAGAAACTTTGCTGACAATATGAATCACTTGCGCATTTTCCTTGCAACACTTTCATTGATCGTCATTGTACAAGCTATGAAGTTCAAGACTTTGACTGATGATATATCACTTTTATGATGTCGAATGAACCTGCCGTGTTGTACTGGTGAGAGAAAAATTGTAATGATTATTATATAGCTACTACATCAAAGGATGCCAGCATACTGACAAAAAATGTTCTTATTCCTGCCCTATATCCATACATATTGGATATAGCCACTTTTTTCTCCTTCACTGAAAATATTTCTACATTCAATGACTGGAAAGACAATGAGTTAATTCAATTTTCTAAAGAAATGAATAATGAATTGCGTTACAAAATTTGCATTGTTGGAGTAAAACCTCGGACTGGCGATATTTGCATTTTATTTTATTCTTTTCAGCCGCCATTATTATAACTGAACGAAAAAAATAACTTTCCTCAAAGATCTAGATTTTATACGTTTTTTGTCAGTCAACTTTCATCTTCTCATGTAAGAGTTAACAGCCATTAAAATTCGTTTCTAATTACAATAACTTTATCGCTACTCTTTGTATTCTGTTTTTACAAAATACGTCACCGCAGGTAGAAAAAAACGTAATGTAATCTTCAGAGATAAAGGAAGCAACGGTGAGGATGTTGAAACCGGAACACTTTCAAGTAGAAAAAAAGGGACAAAATCTTCAGGATGTTTTTACAAGTCAAAGATGCAAAGGGTGACAGTAAATAGTAACTATTTCAGGATGAATTATGGATTTCAGAAATTCCTTTTACACAGTGTAAATGTAGCAAGATTTGAAAAAAGAATTACACGAACAAATCCAAGATATTTATTTTTACAGGATTAAATTTTAATACTTTAACAAAGATATCAAAGGCAAAAGGCATCTGTAAAAGTAAAAATCTTGGATTTGTTCCTGTAATTTTTTTCCAAATCTTGCAAATTATCACAAAATTGCAAATTATCGCTTTACAAATCGAAAAAAAGTGAAATTAGAACTGAAGGCCTATTTTCCGTAAATCGCCATCAACAAAAGTACGTATAAGAAACTCACCGGATCCCGTATAGGTTTTTTAATAGGGATTACCAAAAATTCATAAATTGACCATCAGATCCATACTATCATACATCAACCGTGCATTTCTATATTTCATATAAAATAGCTAAATTCTTCGTCCCAAATATGCTAACTCCATTCACAACCCGCACTCACATCATCAAAACCTTCTTGTCTTTCGTGCAAGAACTCTTAAACTGCAACATGAACTTAAACATTGTTTTTGTGGCAAGCTCTGACGTAAAGTCGCTGTTTACTAACGTACATGTGGATGAAACAATCGATATCACTCTCAAAAACTTATTCTCGAACATGACCTCATTCAAAGTTTTTTCCCGTTTCCAACGGCAGAACATGCCCACATTAGCTGTGAAAACTAAAAACTGCCATTTCATCTATTGTGACTAATTTTCCAAGTCTACCAATAAGTATATGGTACTACAATGAGTAGACCTTTAGGATCACCTACTACTTTTTGCAAACATTTCAATGCCACATCACGAACAGAAATAGTTAAATAACTGCCTTCCATCTTTCTGACCACTTTGGTACAGACGCTACGTTGACGACTGCTTTCTTCTTTTCCACTCATCTGATCATTCAACTTTGTTCCTCAAGTTTGTCAACCAACAACAACCTAACATTACATTCACATCTGAAACAGAACAAGATAACAAGCACCCCCTTTTCTTGACATTAATATCACACATTCTGACAGAAAATTCATGACATCCGTGTACTTCAAACCCACCTTAAATGGAATTTTCCCTCACTTTCATAGCTTCATCCCTATCATATATAAACGCTGCCTTATTTCTATTATTATTTATCGTACTTTCAATATCTTCTGAAGCTTTGAAAACTCCCACTCAAAGCATTCTTTCATTCCAACAGTTTCACCTGTGAACTTTTTGACAGCACTGTTCGCCGCTTTCATGACAACGTCTTTTCTCCCAAACAACCAACTATTATCTTGCTTAAGACGCTTATCTATTTCTGCCTTCCCTTTACAAGCTCATACTCTCTTACAATGCGCTCACAATTTAAGTGCCCCTTCAAAACGCTGCCTTCTCTTATATAAGCATTATGTTTGTTTTCCGTTCTTCTAAACGAATTCTCGCCTTCTTTTCATTCAAGGACAAGATTAACAAATTCATAAGATCTGATGTTGTTTAAGTTTTTAAGTATCAACGCTGTAACGCGTCCTTTGAGGGAAATCACACGCTCTCTACACACCAGAATCTCAGAGCACTTAATATTTTGCCTTTGACAGGAAGACAATCATTATGCCCTACCACATCCAGCATCTGATTCCATATCAACACATCAGGTCACAAAACTTCCATTGACGAATTCACAATCGCTACCATTTTGTCTGGACTGGAATTAAAAAAATGATGTGAATTAAGCTTTTAAACATGAAACAAATAGATTTGACTTAAATTCACTATATTTTATTTTTTTATTAATTAATACACCCTAACATTTTGACAATAAAACATACAATGGTACAAAGCTATTAACTTAACTAGCATATTGCTGATTTTTGAAGCATGAAATGTGATTCAAGAAGTTTACTTACAAAATCTGTCCATGTTTCACAATTGTAGTATAGTCTAGTCAATGTTTTACAAGTCCAGTCCATGTTTTGTAAGTCCAGTCCATGTTTTACAAGTTTCGTCTATGTTTTGCAAAGTTAAGTCCATGTTTTACAAGTCTAGTCCATGTTTTGCAAGCCCAGTCCATGTTTTACAAGTCCAGTCCATGTTTTGCAAGCCCAGTCCATGTTTTACAAGTCCAGTCCATGTTTTGTAAGTCCAGTCCATGTTTTACAAGTCCAGTCCATGTTTTGCAAGTCCAGTCCATGTTTTACAAGTCCAGTCCATGTTTTGCAAGCCCAGTCCATGATTTACAAGTCCAGTCCATGTTTTGTAAATCAAGTTCATGTTTTGCTAGCCCAGTCCATGTTTTACAAGTCCAGTCCATGTTTTACAAGTCCTGTCCATGTTTTACAAGTCCTGTCCATGTTTTACAAGTCCGGTTCATGTTTTACAAGTCCAGTCCATGTTTTACAAGTCCGGTTCATGTTTTACAAGTCCAGTCCATATTTTGATAGTGCAGTCCATGTTTTACAAGTCCAGTTCATGTTTTGCAATCCCAGTACAGACCATAGTGGACAGCGAGATTAAAATTTGAAGGGTTTGGAGGGTAAGGGTAAAATGACAAGGTTGATTGTAAAATTACGAGGTTGATAGTGAAATTACGAGGTTTATAGAAAAATGAGGAAGAAGAGGCACTAGCAAATTTAGGAATAAACAGAATGAATTAAAGCTGCGAATATGAAATTCAAAATACCTCAATAAAATTGTTTATGAATTTCCGAAAAATAAAATAATATCATTACGCACGTGTTTGTTTCATACAACACTATAATTATTTGGAAAACCTGATGACATTTAGTCATTCACTGACTACATTACATACGTTTGCACCTGCCAAGGTTTGCGCTAAAAATGTCTGTGCCAATACTATGTAAACATCTTGACGTGAAGCAGTTATTTGCATTTAAAACAAAGAGGAATTTTTATTCAAATTGTAGGTAGGAAACAGGAAACTCTTTTTATGTTTAGCTTTTCTTTGAGTTTGACGCAAATGTCTACAATAGCATGTGAGTATATTCACAAAAAATTGCAATTTATGATGCACTCTCATAAACCGCACTTGATTTAACGAGGTATGTTTGGAGGCAATTTCTAAACAGGCTAAAGCCTCAATATTATATACTCTTTGGAAGATTTGCAACATTACCCAATATCCAATATACCTTATGTGTTGCACTTTCACTGCCCACAAATTTCAACCTTGTTTTTACACACTCTCCCTCGACTTTTACACTCACTCTCAACTTAATGTAATCATCTTTCACGTTTCATCTTCACCCTAACTTTTCATCCTTGCCTTCGAATTCTTTTTTACCTCTCTCCTTTCACCCTCATTATCAATCTTTCCCCGTGACTCCGTAACATTTACCTTTACATTTGACATTTTATTCCCAACAGCAACCTTCATACACACTGCATCATTTGCTTAGCAAAAATTGAAACAAAACAATGAGAGTGTAATCATTTGTAAACGATGGCAGTCTACTAAATAAGAAACCCCACTTCAATAGTGATTGCATTGTTGGATGAAATCCACTGGGGATTCTACTCAAGAACGTTGTGTGGTTGAATTTGCATATATTATGATGCAGTAGATGCCAAATAGGGCAATGATATTCGTGTTAATGTAATGTTATTTGAGCATAGTGTAAAACATGAATCGGACTATGGTCTAGACTGGACTTGACTTGTAAAACATGGACTGGATTTGCAAAAATGGACAGGTGCAACCCTCGACCTTCGGTCTCGGGCTTGCACTGATCTGATCTCGAGTTCTCTTTGGCTTGCATAAGCTTGTGGAAACACAGTAAGCATCTTTTATTTCTTAAATAAAGAGCGTTAATGTTTTATTATTGATTATTTTCTGGCTAAGCCACTGATTCAGTGCAATCAAATGTAGACTGGGTCAGTTAGGCATCAGACGTTTCATAGCATTAAATTTACCGATATTAATTCTAACTATAAATTGTCGATTAATTTGCTGTTATAATTATGAAAATGCATAAGTTAATCTCAGTAAAAGTCAAGTATCGAGACGTCTTACTTCTGCCAGTAAGTAAATCATAAGCTCTTAGTAGAGTCGCTGCTTGAGTTGCAAGTAGAAAACTTTGCTTGAAACTATTTGGTAAACAGCGAGTAGAAAAATATTAACAGTAAATTGAAAAATTTACAGATTAATAAGCTCAGGTAGAGAAATTGTTTGTCACACGTTTTCCATATTGAAAACACTGAATTAATGTAAACATTCTGTTGAAAATTTACGATTATATGCAATACCTGTCTATTGATTTTGTAAAATGCAAAATTTCCTTACTTCTCAAAGTCAAATCCTTAACACAAATTTTGTTTAAGGCGCTGTTCAATCTTTTATGGAGAAGGAGTACACGTAACGAAAACTTATGTCTTTCGTATATGAACATTGCACACAGCTGCACAGCGTAAGTTAAACATAACTTAAGTATGATCGTTCAACATTTAATTCATTGTAAAATAATAATAGACTTCAGCATTGATTTGGTATATATGAGATAAAATTTATTATGTCAAACGAAATTCTTATATTAGACAAAACATTTCTACTAATATAATCAAAGAAGTAACAATGGAAGTTTCTAAACCGAATGTTTACTTACACTCGTTACACATGATGCTAATTCTTTGTAGTTGTCAAAAGCTAATATTGAGTTTCCGTTAAATAATGTCATAAATAATGCAGCTGTATTTCCTAATTTGTAGTCTGTCAGGATGTCAAGAACTCGAACTGTCTCATATTGATGGTATGCACAGTCACTTTTTGTCTTTCTTCCAACAACAAGTGTTTTGCCTTGAGAAAAACACTTTCTAGTCATTAGTAAATAAAGAGACTTCAGCATTGATTTGGTATATATGAGATAAAATTTATTATGTCAAACGAAATTCTTATATTAGACAAAACATTTCTACTAATATAATCAAAGAAGTAACAATGGAAGTTTCTAAACCGAATGTTTACTTACCCTCGTTACACATGATGTTAATTCTTTGTAGTTGTCAAAAGCTAATATTGAGTTTCCGTTAAATAATGTCATAAATAATGCAGCTGTATTTCCTAATTTGTAGTCTGTCAGGATGTCAAGAACTCGAACTGTCTCATATTGATGGTATGCACAGTCACTTTTTGTCTTTCTTCCAACAACAAGTGTTTTGCCTTGTAAAAGCACAACGTTGACCACTGACAGGCTACGCACGCCCGTTTTACAGCTTATACTCACTTCACGCTTAATCTACACAGGCAAACAAATTACTTATTTGATGGCAGGATTTTTGCTAAAATATTCTAAATCAAGCAGTCAGTGGGTGGAAGAAAAATACCGTCTTTGAATAGTAGATATGTGATGAACTTTGCTCAGTGAGTTTGATCGACAATTCACTTTTGTGATATTCATTTTACTTTATACTTTTTTCTTTGTACGCACTAAAACATTTTCATTTGTTCAAAGAAGATGTAATGCTGTCGAAGAAATGATGGTTCATTCGAAAACATGTTTACACAAATTAAAGTAATAATTATGAGCTACCTTATGTTGTTTTTATAGGAAACATGAAACCTTGAACACAATGTACAGAATCTACTCGGAAGACGCCAAGGATCGCTATGTCAAAAACAAGTATTGCTTAGCAATAGTATCATTTCAAGGAAATCCATAACTATTGAAAATTTGAAACTGTTGTAGAATGTAGCTAGAGTTTCTTGTCGAGGCCATTATATGGTTGAATGTCATGGATGAAGTCGCAAGTTTTACCATAAACTTCACTCTTAAAAAAATAGCTTGAAACTACACATGAAATTGATACTAAACTCAAGAAGTCTTCATTTTTCAATATATATGCGCACTTTAATGTTTCTTGGAACTATCATACATGTCAGAAGCGTTGTGAAGTTTTTGATTTTGGGTATTGTTTTGCAACTTGTGTGTCCAGTGAAAGGAGGTTTAAATGCACTTCGATACAATTACATATTTCAAGAGTTGCTCCATTTTGACATTCAAAACATATTAGTTTAAAAAGCATTACTTGATGGGAAAATTCACATTTAATAGACTGAAAACTTATCATAAATTTCATACGAAGTCGTCGAAGTAGAAAATGGAGTTTATCTAACGACTCTACCTAGCAAGTTTCTCCTCGCGCTTCACGAATTTTTTCCACGACACGCGACATGAGAAAAACACTTTCTAGTCATTAGTAAATAGAGAGCATCGCTGCACGCATTATATTATGAAATACTTGAAACGATCAAAGACTTTTCTTTCTTCTGTATGGTTTTGGAGTTAGACCAATTCCTGCAATGAGCAACTTTGTTTAGACTGAATTTATCACTTTTTGCTGATGGTATTTTTTAAAACATACAGTTCATGTATTCTTTCTTTCTAATAAATTTATTAAGTTTACATTTGAACAAGAATCTCATATCTTAAAGAAACAGAGCTATAGTAGGATTTAAATATATTTTCTTAATAAACTTTATAAAACGGATTTCTAAAGCTTGGTGCAATTGTAAATGTCTACTAAAAAAAAGAAAATGAAATGAGGAACGACAAGTATTGCAGATTTCTTCACATCAACAGTTTGTCTATACAACTGAACCATGTGCGTAGTACATTTGGTCAACAACAGTGAACCACTTGCGAACAAAACTTTCTTTTTTAGTCTTTCATCACATTATATATTTACTTAAAACTGTCGAATAAATGATCTTCATGAGAAAAAAATGACATGTATGAAATTTATGATGAAAATTGGTTGAAAATTATTGCAACCTCTGATCCCTTCAGAAGATATTCCTGCATGGACTTTCATTGACCTGTCATACATTTTTTCGGGAGGGGGGAGGAAAAAGGGGCGGTTGAAAGGAGGAAGTGGAAAGGAGAAAAGAGGTAATTTCCATAACATGATAAAGACAACCATAATTATTTGGCTTCATTTTCACTAAAGTAACAAACACTATTTGCTTGTATGAAAGGCATTAACTCTTACGGCTGATTTGAACGGGTAAAAGGAAGTCTTAATGACCAAAAAATCATAGTTAAGCGAATGATCAAATGATGGTGATGGAAACTTAGCATATTGCATTATTTGACAAGCAAAGTATGGCACATTCAAATATAATTAAAGGAAAATGTACCTGTTTTAGTTGTTTAGAGACAATCTGTCTGGGTTTTTTTTACATTAATTAGCCTTCTTTAGCTACTTTTGCTAAAAATGTAAGACTCTCAGCAAAATGTGCTAATTGTCAAGGAAGTTGAACATGATCGCGATGTCATAAGCAAACTTATGACGTAGAACTTGAAAAGTCTGCGGTCTTGTTGCGACAAAACTCAAAAAGTACACCGATACTCAATATATAAAAAAGATTTTGGAAATAATAAAAGATTTTTGTTTCTGCTGCATGGATTTTTTGGGGTTAAGCAGTTTACATAATCATACAGAATAATGCTTCTTAGCTCATTTATGTGTGTGAACGGGCATCTATATTTTTATAACTTCTTGTTAAAAGAATTCATTGCAAAAAACGTACCCTACGTCTCCAAAAGCACTTCTTAAGATAATATGTTAACCAAAGAAGATATTCTCCTTTGACTTAGAACTAAACGTAAATTAAAATGTCTTAATTTATGGTATTGTTAAGAAGTGACGAATCTAAGCTAATGTGTTGGCGATATTCTGCTTTTTGCTCTGTTATAAAACAGACAATAACTAACCTTTACAGCACTCGTGCCTAAAGAAAAAGTAATCACGATAAACTTTCTTTATTTCACATCACTTTTGACAAATAAATAAATCGACGAGCATAAAATATTTGTGTGAAATTCTGAAAAATTCATAATATGCCTAACGCAAAAACACTCAAATACTTGAGAAAAAACGTATAATTTATGCATCATTATGTATAATTGAAAATGCTGAAGCACCGATATTGGTCTTCTTCAATTTACCACGAAAGATATTTTGTACTGACTTTGGAATTAATTATAATATATTTGTGGCTAGGTTTAAAAGAACAAATTTAGGAGTGTAAGTAGCTATGTAACATATCCGATAATTCGTCGATGGGCATTATGGTAAATAATCAATTTTGTATTTTCGAATAAAAGGTTAAAAGAAACTCTCTTAGGGCTAAAGCAAGCAATGATTCATTAATGAATGAATAATGAAGGAGCTAGATGAAAGAAAAAATCCAATATAACATCTACGGGGATATCTGTTTAGGCAAACTGTCAAAGAGACAAAGAAATTCGTTTGTAGCTTAAACATTATAAATGCTCGTCCCTTTTTCAACATTCTCCAGAGTTAAAGGGCCTAAGCGGGAATTGTACTCAGTGGTAGGCTACTCAGAAGAAAGCAGCAGGTTAAGTTGAATACAGGTATGTGATACTTAAACTTCGTTGCGCATTAAGTTTGATAATGAATTGTTTTTATAGATTGTTTTTTGAAAAGCAACGAAGCAAACAATCACCGATCTTTGTGAAATTAAAAATACACAACTTTTCAAATTTTCATGTATCTTTACACAGTCATTGGTCTATATGTTTACATAAAAATAATTTATGCACAAAGAACGTCTGTAATATTATGGGCAGGCCATTCTTTGAAGATTTGAACATATTTACGCTTTTATAAGATATGCAAATTTCTGTTGCCTGTTTGTATAAAACAAAAGTGCAAACAAAGTATAATTGTGACACTTCACTATACATTATTGATATTTTGAGCATATAATAGTAGATTTAATATAAGGAATTGCAACTTTCAACCTGCATGACATTCGTCGACTGAGATTTTTCAGACAGAAATTCCATATATTTTTGAATTTTACAGCCCAATATACAGTTTTAACAAAGCCACTTCAAGGTTTCTGATTCAAAGAGGCTTTTTTTAAGATCTGCGAACTTTTTTTATACAAGTGAAACAACATTAGAATGATTTTCCGCCGCAGAGGTCATGGGTTTGAATCCCGTTGAGTCATCTGATTTTTTCAGGTCCTGAGACGATTGCTTAAATTGTCCAGCAAAGTGCGAAGATCATATCTACATTTAATTTCAAACACCGCACTGCATAAAACATTCATACGACATTCCTTTCACGAGAAAACATGAGCCCAACAATATTGACCTGCTCACCACTGTGTGACTTCATAGCTCAGTTGGTCAGAGCACTGCACCGGCACCGCAAAGGTCATGGGTTCGAATCCCGTTGAGTCACCTGATTTTTTCAGGTCCTGAGACGATTGCTTAAATTGTCCAGCAAAGTGCGAAGATCATTTCTTCATTTAATATTAGATAACGTTCATTCTCCCATACGATACTGGAAAGAGAGACTTCTGAACGATTCTCCTTCAAAAAAATAAATGATGAATAAACTTTCTGTTTTTTAATTCACATACTTGTTCACTTCGTGCCAAAACTCACCGGTTGCCAAATAGCGTAAAGTAACTGCGAGCCGCTCATGTGGACTAATGGTTGCTCTCATCGATGTCTCCTTTTTCTGAATTAATGGTCTAACCATGTTCAAAATAAAGTTAAATGAGTTGATATCTAATCGGTGATATTGCCGAAAAGATTCGGGATCTTCGCCCTTTAGTTCTTGGAGGAGATTTGCGTAAACACCACGGCCCTGGCGTTTAAGAATCCATGACTTGCTCCATGTTGTTCGCAAATTAGTCTTGCGGCGACGGCGTCGCCGTAGAAATATTAAAAGGACTGCCACTCGATGAAGATTTAAATGAGCCGCCATGTTTGAATTTCCCGCGAAAAGTATCGGCTGAGCGAATGTCGCGGCTGTTTGCGGCAAACACGTAATGAGAGCAAATTTCACGCGTGGCTGTTACCTCTGCCAATAGCTCTTGTGTGCGGCGGGCTTTAGGGCCAATGCTTAAAGCTTTGAATGTTAAAGTGTTGTGGAGTGGGTTGGGGTGAATAGAAAAATATTAAAGATTGAGGTTGCCACGTTGCGATAGTAAAAATGGCGCATAACTAATCATTCTTTGCAATATTAAAGGTTTCAATATGTTTTATTCACATTCCCGAAGCGTTTATTGTATTTGCATTATTATTGGTGTAGGTTTCTATACAGAGTGCATAAAAACTGAATAGTCTAAAAAGCCTTCGTGGAGTACGTTGTTGGACTCCCCCTTGGTCATCTAACTGTAAATTGTATTAATCACTTTTAGAGTGAGAATTGTGTTGGTGAGAAGTCCGTTTGAAATTGCTTACGCACAAAAAGGACAAAGCAAAATAGCAATTGAAGGCCGTAGACTTGCTTAAAAACCACACATGTTAAATATGACACATAGTGCTATAACCTTTTCACTACGCATCCCAATCGCAGTTTATATTGAGGAGAATTAAGGCATTTAAAAATGAAAAATTTGCAATAATTTTACTGTCAAATAAACCATTGGAAATCCAATCAACTTTTTCCACCGAAATTTTTTTGCAAATCTTGCGCAGTGATGTCTTTAAAGCGATGTTTTCCAATCTGTTCATTTTTTTTATAAATCACTCGGCCTCCCTTCTAGTACGCTATACATTATGTAGTTGTAAAAAACGGAATGGTTAGAAAAACATCGCTAAAGACATCAGCAAGCAAGATTTGCAAAAGCATTCGGTTGAAATATTAAGTTGAACATCCAATAGGTTATCTTATTATAAATTGTTGCAAATAATAAACATTTTTAAAATAAAAATTGTGTTACCAAGAAACACTTTCAAATTAGCTTGCACAAAAAATGACTCAGCTAAAAAAACAGTTGGAGCACATGGGGTTAAATTATTGTACATGTTGTTCAAGCTGACAAATTTTAACAAAATTGGCTAATGCGTATGCGATTGCTTAGTATTTAAATGTCGGGTTATTTTAAATCATTTCGTTTCCAATTGTTGTTTTGTTAGAATTCTCCATCATTCAAATACGAACAGTTCAAAAAGTGTTTAAAGAGATGGACAATTAAAAAGGAAAATCACAAAAGCAAAAATTTTTCGTTATTTTCTCCTTTAAGTTTTTATTTTTATCCCAAATTTCAATCATTAGTTCACTATGGCCAGCGGTAACTATACCCACAAAATTATAAAAAAAACATTGAATTTTCCTATGACATGGTGTGACGTATAATTTACACAATCTCATTCGGTGGTCTAATAGATTGAGCTCAGATCGGTCTGCGTTGGATATTGTAAACTCAGCTACTGAAGAATCAACACACGCTTTGTATTGTTGCTTTTTTAATAAAGCATTATCAAAGATAGTTAAAAATCATTAAAAATGCAAACAAAAGTAATGTAGGCACACGGAAACCATTATTTTCTTTTAGAAACTTTGCTGACGTTATGAATCATTTCCGTATTTTCGTTGCGACACTTTTATTGATCGTCGTTGTACAAGCGATAAAGTACAAGACTTTGACTGACGACAAACCACATTTCTGTTGTCCAGCAATTGAAATGTGTTGTCGTGGAGGTAATAGAAAAATTTTAAAGACTTTCATCTCTTACATCAGAGGATGCAAGCCGACTTACCAAAAAAATAATCTCATCCCTGGTGTATATGCATACATTACCTTTCAAGCAAGTTTTTCACTCCTACAATGCAAATAATTTTCATTCAATCACTGCAAAGACAATGAGTCATATTAATCTTCTGAAGATTGAAATGATAAATACTTTACAAATTTTCATTGTTGGAATAAAAGACGGGAAAGATGGGACTGGCTTCACCACTGTCGATGGGAGTTTAATACATTTTTCTAGTCGACTTTTAAAATATGATATAGTAGATATTAGAACCATTATAATTTATTTCTAATCTCAAGAACTTTGCATCTTAATTCTGTAACCTGTTGTTATACAATACTTCGTTGTAGGTTCGAAGAAACGTGATGAAATCGTCAGTGATGAAGAAGTCAACGTTGGGGTTGGTGAAAATGGAATTATTTCAAAGGGAAAAAAACGTGATGAAATCTTCAGTGTTGAAGGACACAAATTAAAGATGTTGAAATATAAACTATTTTAAGATGAATGATGGATTTTAGAATTTTCTTTTACACAGTATAAATACATTTGTCTAGTTACTTGAAATTTTTTGATTAATCGGTAAACCTCTTTGTTAGTTAATGTAGAATCATTTCCTTAATTATACACTTATGCAGCGAAATTATTTTTCAAGTTTACATTCTAGCTTTATTTAAAGCATATTTTCCTTTCTTCAGATCACCTTCCTTCTTCCTTATACTTCATTTTGACAAACGAATTGTAGCCTTCCTTAAAACTCTCGGCGGGAATAACGAATTGTATTTCATGATAATTGTAAACATAGACACCAATTAACCTTTTACCAAGTCAAATACTAATGTTTTTAAAAGGTTGGCTTAAAACTCATAAATAAAGGAGCTACTTAAACCCTGTACTTTTTTTGACGGGAAGGGGGTAAGAAGGTCAATGATGTTTCAAAGCCTCTTTTGTATCAAAGAAATCTGTTGAATTCTGGAGCAAAACTAGAACGCTAATTGGGAGGGGGGGGGCTGAATATTTACATATTCAGCTCTGTTCGATTGATTTTCTTTGTTAGCAATTTTAATATCAAAAGAATGAGCTGAATATACGATAATCCTCCCTCCCCCCCAAAAAAATAGTGTTCTGGTTTTGCCACTGGTTGAACTTCGTGAAGAATAAAGAAAGGCAATATACTTAGTATGAGCAATAAAGCAGTGTCATGAAATGCTTCTATGTAAGTAATCACCTGATTGTTTAGAAATAAGAATTTTGATTCGTATGCTGGTTTATAAATAATCAATTAAGTTTAATATGTTTATTAGTAAATAAACAATTATACCATTTCGTTTGTATCAAACCATGAGAAAGTTCACATATAGCTTTCATATATAATTTTTTTTAAAAATGGCGCCTCATACCTGACTCTACATGCGTATTACTTAACAAAATATAGTGTTTAGTCATGCATATTAAATAAGCAAAATATAAAATATAGCCGCAGAGGCAATTTTCTTCAAAGTGATTAATACAAAGGAAACAGTGGCAGATATAAGGTAAGTCAAATATTTAAGGAATATATTTAAGATTCAACAAACATTTGTAGCAACGCTGTTAGTTAGAAATTTGTAAAGAATATTTGTGGCTAAATTCCCTTCAATATGATTTGTGTATTGTAGTAAATTAGAAACATTTACTGCAATAATGGGTTCTGCTTGATCTACTGTGAACCGCTTCTCTATCGACATTAAAATATGTTGAACCTATGTGGCTTGCACTTTTACGAACCTTTACAGAGTAACACTATTTGATTTGATGTGAGCGAAAGGCAAAAATTCACACAAATATTTTGAACATACGAAACGTTTGCTTAAACACACTTATATCGTAAGTTCGTAACTCTTTCTGGCGAGCAAAGGTTGTCTTGATTGAGCAGATGATGTCATAGTAAATTAGAGAGCACTCGGCGACTGGATATATATATGTGTATGAAATGTTTATAGCTAAACAAGATAAACTTCCTATTTTGATAAGGTCAAGGCAACAATGTGAGGAATGCACAGTAAATAAATATACACGACCTGATTACGCATTCAAAGAGTTTTTCACGAGTGTAATGAAAATAGCTTTTTTTAATATCTCCTCAAGGTTTTAATGCTCCTCCAACTCTCAATCCATAATTTTACGAGCTGATGGGAAATACACTTAAAAAAGTATAAAGGAAAACATTTCGTAAGCTTAAGAGCACCTGATCACAGTCAAACCCACACAAAAAATGCAAACCCTGATTACATAATCGTAACGTCATGAAATTAAAAGAAACTACGATTTCTATATCCTTCAAGAATTCTTTTCGTTCCATGCAGATATCAAACACAAAACTAAGCCTTAATCTTCCAATAGACATTGTTAATAAGGATTATTTATATATTATAGATAAAAAAATTCAGACAACAGCGAATTCTCCTGTTACATCGGGCCTTTATATGGTTAAATGCCATAAAGTTGTGAGTAAATTAATCTAGTAAAATTGTAATATACTTTATTTTAAAAATGAAGGTAGCTTACTTTCTTTTGAACATAAATATAATTTGAAAATTTATTGCTGGTCATTTCCTAATTTACATATCTTAAAATCATGCTAATTTTTGTTGCTATGCTACAAACCTGCTGAATTTTCTAGAACAAACTTTATTCTCCCGAAAGCTGACTTGAAGACAGTCCTTTGTAGCTTTAGAAAATCTTTTCTGTAAGATGATTAGAAATTTTGTCATACTGGAGCATTTTATAATCAAGTTGAATTATAAGTTATCATTATTATCATTCATTATCATAGTTATTAATCATTATTTGGCTATAGATATATTAATTAGTAAAGAATAATTGACACAATTTTTATAAGGTCCATAAGATAGCATTTATGTATGTATTTTATCAATGCTCTGTTGCTGTACAACAGCTTTCCTAAAAATTACACTGCTATATATTCAATATAGTCCAGTTGGTTTTGTTAATGATTTGTTTTATGAACTAACAGCGTGTTTGTACATTAGAACTCAAAAACTAATGAAAATTTCAATTATAATTAATGATTAATGATATTTTGAAAGTGATAAATATATGAGTTTTAGTTTTACACGGTTAAACATATCAATAGAGGCAGCTCTGCCCTGGAAAATTTGAGAGAAGATCAGTACGTGCCACCTGCTTGAGAGATTCACAAACGTCCCTGAAATTTTCATGAGCCAATTCAAACAAAAAAATCCTATAAGTTATTTGTAAAAATAACTGATGTTTTAATAAATAATGAATGTTTTAACTTTTTTTAATAGATATTTATAAATGATTTGTAAAATCTCTTCTGTGATTGAATTGATTGAGTTAAGATCAGTCTGCACAGGCTTTTGCAAACTCAGTTATTGAGAAAGCAGTGCATGCGTTTTGTTGTTGTGTTATTGCTATTAGATGAAATATAGTCAAAATTCATAGCAAATTCAAACAAATGAAATGTACTTACATGAAATCATTTCTCTTCTGATAGAAACTTTGCTGGCAATATGAATCATTTGCGCATTTTCCTTGCAACACATTCATTGATCGTCATTGTATAAGCCATGAAGTTCAAGACTTTGACTGATGATATATCATTTTTATGATGTCGAATGAACCTGCCGTGTTGTATTGGTGAGAGAAAAATTGTAATGATTATTATATAGCTACTACATCAAAGGATGCCAGCATACTGACAAAAAATGTTCTTATTCCTGCCCTATATCCATACATATTGGATATAGCCACTTTTTTCTCCTTCACTGAAAATATTTCTACATTCAATGACTGGAAAGACAATGAGTTAATTCAATTTTCTAAAGAAATGAATAATGAATTGCGTTACAAAATTTGCATTGTTGAGTAAAACCTCGGACTGGCGATATTTGCATTTTATTTTATTTTTTCAGGTTCCATAATTATAACTGAACGAAAAATAACTTTCCTCAAAGATCTAGATTTTATACGTTTTTTGTCAGTCAACTTTCATCTTCTCATGTAAGAGTTAACAGCCATTAAAAGTCGTTTCTAATTACAATAACTTTATCGTTAATCTTTGTATTCTGTTTTTACAAAATACGTCACAGCAGGTAGAAAAAAACGTGATGTAATCTTCAGAGATAAAGGAAGCAACGGTGAGGATGTTGAAACCGGAACAATTTCAAGTAGAAAAAAACGTGACAAAATCTTCAGAATGTTTTTCCAAGTCAAAGACGTAAAGGGTGACAGTAAATAAAAACTATTTCAGGATGAATTATGGATTTCAAAAATTCCTTTTACACAGTGTAAATGTAGCTCTAATCGTGTAGTCATTTTTTATTCCTGTAATTTTTTTTTCAAATCATGCAAATTATCACAAAATTGTAAATTATGGCTTTGCAAATCGAAAAAAGTGAAATTATAACTAAAGGCCTATTTTCCATAAATCGCCCTCAACAAAAGTACGTATAAGAAACTCACCGGATCCCGTATAGGTATTCTATACGGATTACCAAAAATTCATAAATTGACCATCAGATCCATACTAACATACATCTACCATGCATTTCTATATTTCATATAAAATAGCTAAATTCTTCGTCCCAATTATGCTCACTCCATTCACAACCCGCACTCACGTCATCAAAAACTCCTCTTTCGTGCAAGAACTCTTAAACTGCAATATGAACTTAAACATTGTTTTTGTGGCAAGCTCTGACGTAAAGTCGCTGTTTACTAACATACATGTGGACGAAACAATCGATATCATTCTCAAAGACTTATTCTCGAACATGACCTCATTCAAAGTTTTTTCACGTTTCCAACGGCATAACATGCCCACATTAGCTGTGAAAACTAAAAACTGCCATTTCATCTATTATGACATATTTTTCTAATATTGCCCCAAAACTTGCTGAAGAAATAGACAACACAAAAACTAATTTTGAAAATTATAAAAATACAACTAAATCAGGGTTTGCTGCCTTTCGGCCAACTACTGTTCATAATGTGTACCATCTCATTTGTGGACTTTCGCCAAATAAGGCAACAGGTTGTGATGGAATATCATGTAAAATTTTAAAATTAGCTACACCTGTCATATCTGAAACATTAACCTATATTTTCAATCAGTGCATAACTTTGTCTGTCTTCCCAGATGAATGGAAAACAGCAAGAATTATACCTCTTTACAAAAATGGACACCGTAACTTGCCTGGAAACTATAGACCAATTTCAATTCTTCCAGTCGTCAGTAAAATCATTGAACGTATACTTTACGATCAACTCTACAACTACTTTTCTAAATCTGAAATCCTAAGTGATTGTCAATTTGGTTTCAGAAAATCACATTCAACAACAACTGCCTTAAATGACTGTACGAATGATTGGTACACAAACATGGATAAAAGGTTGCTCAACCTTGTAGTCCAAATTGATCTAAAAAAAGCTTTTGATACTGTTGACCACAAAATTTTATTAAGAAAACTTGAGTTGTATGGAATTAAAGGACAAGCCTATAACCTAATTGAATCCTATCTGTCAAAGCGAACTCAAAGATGCCAAATCAAAAATTATATTTCATCCCCACAACTCCTCACCTGTTGAGTTCCGGAGGGCTCTATTCTAGGTCCGTTATTTTTCTTAATATATATAAATGACTTACCCTCATGCTTAGAACATTGTAAACCAAAATGTTTGCTGATGATACTAGCATAACTGCTTCAAATAATGATATAGTTGAATTAGAAAAGACAGTAAACTCTGACTTGAATAATCTTGAAAAGTGGTTGATAGCAAACAAACTTAGTTTGAATTCAACCAAGACAGAATAGTTGATCATAGGCTCGAAACAAATGATCAAGAATGTTTTTACTTCTAATTTGCATATTGCAATTGGCAATTACGTTATAAATAGAATTTATGAGTACGAAAGTTTGGGTTTAATAATTGACCAACACTTATCTTGGAGGAGTAACACTGATAAAATTTGCAAAAAAGTAGCAGCCGGTATCTCCGCCCTTAGAAAATTAAAGCAATACACAGACAAGCAAACACTTATCTCTATTTATAATGCCCTGGTACATCCTTACTTCACATATTGCTGTGAAGTTTGGGGTGTATTGGGAGAAACTCAGTCCAAAAGACTACAAAAACTTCAAAATAGAGCTGCAAAAATTATCATAAGCATGGGCAATGATGTCGATTATTGTAACGCATTACAAGAATTGAAGTGGGAACCTCTTGAAATACTTAGAAAAAAAGCTAAAGCAAAGCTGATGTTTAAATTATTAAAAAATGCTGGACCAAATTCACTTACTAGATTGTTTACCTATAAAAAAGACATCACTGATTACAACCTACGCAATATTACAAGTTGTCTAAATGTTCCTATGCCTAGTACTAACTCCTTGAAGAAAAGCTTTGCGTATGATGGGGCTTCTGTTTGGAATTCAATTCCAGCAGAAATCAGAAATAGCAAAAGCGTGTCACTTTTTCAAAAGAAAATTGCTGCTTGCATTTTATGATTTAGTTTAACATGTAACTGATGGAATAAACTAAACTCTGTAAATATTTAAACTTCTCTTCTGTAGATAATTTATTTCTTAGTAAATTTTGTAATTATTGAACTAAAGCACGCCCCTTGTGGAAATCAACCCCAGTTGACAAGGCCAGCGTGTCAAAATAAAGATTTTCATTCATTCATTCATTCATTCATTCATTCATATGACCAATTTTCCTGGTCTACCAACAAGTATATGGTACTAAAATGAGTAGACCTTTAGGACCACCGACCACTTTTTGCAAACATTTTAATGCCACATCACGAACAGAAATAGTTAAATAACTGCCTTCCATCTTTCTGATCACTTTGGTACAGACGCTACGTTAACGACTGCTTTCTTCTTTTCCACTCTCCTGATCATTCAACTTTGTTCCTCAATTTTCTCAACCAACAACAACCTAACATTACATTCACATCTGAAACAGAACAAGATAACAAGCTCCCCCCTTTCTTGACATTAATATCACACATTCTGACAGAAAATTCGTGACTTCCGTGTACTTCAAACCCACCTTAAATGGAATTTTCCCTCACTTTCATAGCTTCATCCCTATCATATATAAACGCTGCCTTATTTCTATTGTCATTTACCGTATTTTCATTATCTTCTGAAGCTTTGAAAACTTCCATTCAAAGCATTCTTTGATTCCAATAGTTTCACCTGTGAACTTTTGACAGCACTGCTCGCCGCTTTCATGATAACGTCTTTTCCCCCAAACAACCTACTATTATCTTGCTTAAGACGCTTATCTATTTCTGCCTTCCCTTTACAAGCTCACACTCTCTTACGATGCGCTCACAATTTAACTGCCCCTTCAAAACGCTGCCTTCTCTTATATAAGCATTATGTTTGTTTTCCGTTCTTCTAAACGAATTTTCGCCATCTTTCCATTCAAGGATATGTTTAACAAATTCATAAGATCTGGTGTTGTTTAAGTTTTTAAGTATCGACGCTGTAACGCGTCCTTTGAGAGAAATCACACGCTATCTACACACCAGAATCTCAGAGCACTTAATATTTTGCCTTTGACAGGAAGACAATCATTATGCCCTACCACATCCACCATCTGATTCTACATCAACACATCACGTCACATAGCTTCCATTGACGACTTCACAATCGCTATTATTTTGTCTGGACTAGATATAAAAAAATGAAGTGGATTAAGCTTTTGAACATGAAACAAATAGATTTGACTTAAATTCGCTTTATTTTATTTTTTTATTCATTAATACACCGTAACATTTTGACAATAAAACATACAATGGTACAAAGCTATTAACTTAACTAGCATATTGCTGATTTTTGAAGCATGAAATGAAGTTTACTTATTGATTCAAGAAGTTTACTTACAAAATCTGTCCATGTTTCACAATTGTAGTATAGTCAAATCCATGTTTTACAAGTCTAGTCAATGTTTTACAAGTCCAGTCCATGTTTTGTAAGTCCTGTCCATGTTTTACAAGTCCAGTCCATGTTTTGCAAAGTCCAGTCCATGTTTTACAAGTCCAGTCCATGTTTTACAAGTCTAGTCAATGTTTTACATTTCCAGTCCATGTTTTGTAAGTCCAGTCCATGTTTTACAAGTCCAGTCCATGTTTTGCAAAGTCCAGTCCATGTTTTACAAGTCCAGTCCATGTTTTGAAGCCCAGTCCATGTTTTACAAGTCCAGTCCATGTTTTGCAAGCCCAGTCCATGTTTTGTAAGTCCAGTCCATGTTTTACAAGTCTGGTTCATGTTTTACAAGTCCAGTCCATGTTTTGCAAGCCCAGTACATGTTTTACAAGTCCAGTCCATGTTTTACAAGTCCAGTCCATGTTTTGCAAGTCCAGTCCATGTTTAACAAGTCCAGTCCATGTTTTACAAGTCCGGTTCATGTTTTACAAGTCCAGTCCATGTTTTACAAGTTCAGTTCATGTTTTACAATTCCAGTCCATGTTTTACAAGTCCAGTCCATGTTTTACAAGTCCAGTCCATGTTTTACAAGTCCGGTTCATGTTTTACAAGTCCAGTCCATGTTTTGCAAGCCCAGTCCATGTTTTAGAAGTCCAGTCCATGTTTTACAAGTCCTGTCCATGTTTTACAAGTCCAGTTCATGTTTTACAAGTCCAGTTCATGTTTTGCAATTCCAGTACAGACCATAGTGGAGAGCGAGATTAAAATTTGAAGGGTTTGGTGGGTAAGGGTAAAATGACAAGGTTGATTGTAAAATTACGAGGTTTAGAGAAAAATGAGGAAGAAGAGGCACTAGCAAATTTAGGAATAAACAGAATGAATTAAAGCTGCGAATATGAAGTTCAAAATACCTCAATAAAATTGTTTATAAATTTCCGAAAAATAAAATAATATCATTACGCACGTGTTTGTTTCATACAACACTATAATTATTTGGAAAACCTGATGACATTTAGTCATTCACTGACTACATTACATACGTTTGCACCTGCCAAGGTTTGCGCTAAAAATGTCTGTGCCAATACTATGTAAACATCTTGACGTGAAGCAGTTATTTGCATTTAAAACAAAGAGGAATTTTTATTCAAGTTGTAGGTAGGAAACAGGAAACTCATTTTTTATATTTAGCTTTTCTTTGAGTTTGACGCAAATGTCTACAATAGCATGTGAGTATATTCACAAAAAAATTGCGAGTTATGATGCACTCTCATAAACCGTACTTGATTTAACGAGGTATGCTTGGAGGCAATTTCTAAACAGGCTCAAGCCTCAATATTATATACTCTTTGGAAGATTTGCAACATTACCCACTATCCAATATACCTTATGTGTTGCACTTTTCACTGCCCACAAATTTCAACCTTGTTTTTACACACTCTCCCTATACCTTTACCCTCAATCTCAACTTATTGTAATCATCTTTCACGTTTCATCTTCACCCTAACTTTTTCATCCTTGCCTTCGAGTTCTTCTTTTACCTCTTTCCTTTCACCCTCATTATCATCATTCCCCGTGACCCCGTAACTTTTACCTTTACATTTGACATTTTATTCCCAACAGCAACCTTCATACACACTGCATCATTTGCCTAGCAAAAATGAAACAAAATAATGAGAGTGTAATGATTTGTAAACGATGGCAGTCTACTAAATAAGAAACCCCACTCCAATAGTGATTGCATTGTTGGATGAAACCCACTGGGGCTACTCGAGAACGTTGTGTGGTTGAATTTGCATATATTATGATGGATAGATGACAAATATGGCAATGATATTCGAGTTAATGCAATGTCATTTGAGCATAGTGTAAACATGGATCGGACTATGGTCTGAACTTGACTTGTAAAACATGGACTGGATTTGCAAAAATGGACAGATGCAACCCTCGACCTTCGGTCTCGGGCTTCCACTGATCTGATCTCGAGTTCTCGCAAAGGTCTCCTCGGCTTGCTTAAGCTTGTGCAAACACAGTAAACATCTTTTATTTCTTAAATAAAGAGCGTTAATTTGAACGTTTTATTATTGAAATTTTCTGGCTAAGCCACTGATTCAGTGCGATCAAATGTAGACTGGGTCTGTTAGGCATCAGACCTTTCATAGCATTAAATTTACCGATATCAATTCTAATTATAAATTGTCGATTAATTTGCTGTTATAATTATGAAAATGAATAAGTTGATCTCAGTAAAAGTCAAGTATTGATACGTCTTACTTCTGCCAGTAAGTAAATCATAAGCTCTTAGTAGAGTCGCTGCTTGAGTTGCAAGTAGAAAAACTTTGCTTGAAACTATTTGGTAAACAGCGAGTAGAAATATATTAACAGTAAATTGAAAAATTTACAGATTAATAAGCTCAGGTAGAGAAATTGTTTGTCACACGTTTTCCATATTGAAAACACTGAATTAATGTAAACATTATTCTTTTGAAAATTTACGATTATATGCAATACCTGTCTATTGATTTTGTAAAGTGCAAAATTTCCTTACTTCTCAAAGTCAAACCCTTAACACAAAATTTTGTTTAAGGCGCTGTTCAATCTTTTATGGAGAAGGGGTACACGTAACGAAAACTTATGTCCTTCGTGTATGAACATTGCAAACAGCTGCACAGCGTAAGTTAAACATAACTTAAGTATGATCGTTCAACATTTAATTCATTGTAAAATAATAGTAGACTTCAGCATTGATTTGGTATATATGAGATAAAATTTATTATGTCAAACGAAATTCTTATACTAGACAAAACATTTCTACTAATATAATCAAAAGAAGTAACATTGGAAGTTTCTAAACCGAATGTTTACTTACACTCGTTACACATGATGTTGATTCTTTGTAGTTTTAAAAAGCTAATATTGAGTTTCCGTTAAATAATGTCATAAATAATGCAGCTGTATTTCCTAATTTGTAGTCTGTCAGGATGCCAAGAACTCGAACTGTCTCATATTGATGACATGCACAGTCACTTTTTGTCTTTCTTCCAACAACAAGTGTTTTGCCTTGTAAAAGCACAACGTTGACCACTGACAGGCTACGCACGCCGTATTACAGCTTATACTCACTTCACGCTTAATCCACACAGGCAAACAAATTACTTAATTGATGGCAGGATTTTTGCTAAAATATTCTAAATCAAGCAGTCAGTGGGTGGAGGAAAAATACCGTCTTTGAATAGATATGTGATGAACTTTGCTCAGTGAGTTTGATCGACATTTCACTTTTGTGATATTCATTTTACTTTATACATTTTTCTTTGTACCCCCCAAAAATATTTTCAATTGTTCAAAGAAGATGTAATGCTGTCGAAGAAATGATGGTTCATTCGAAAACATGTTTACACAAATTAAAGAAATAATTATGAGCTATCTTATGTTGTTTTTACAGGAAATATGAAACCTTGAACACAATCTACACAATCTACTCGGAAGATGCCAAGGATCGCTATGTCAAGAACAATTATAGCCAAGCAATAGTATCATTTCAAGGAAATCCATAACTATTGAAAATTTGAAACTGTTGTAGACTGTAGTTATAGTTTCTTGTCGAGGCCATTATATGCTTGCACGTCATGGATAAAGTCGCAAGTTTTACCATAAACTCCACTCTTAAAAAAATAGCTTGTAACTACACACGAAACTGATGCTAAGCTCAAGAAGTCTTCATTTTTCAATATATATGTACACTTTAATGTTTCTTGGAACTATCATACATGTCAGAAGCGTCGTGAAGTTTCTGATTTTGGGTATTGTTTTGCTACTTGTGTGTCCACTGAAAGGAGGTTTAAATGCACTTCGATACAATTACATATTTCAAGAGTTGCTCCTTGTTGACATTCAAAAGATATTAGTTTAAAAAGCATTACTTGATGCGAAAATTCACATTTAATGGACTGAAAACTTAACATAAGTTTCATACGAAGTCGTCGAAGTACAAAATGGAGTTCAACCAACTTTAACCAACGACTCTACCTAGCGAATTTCTCCTTGTGCTTCACGAACTTTTTCCACGACACGCGACATGAGAAAAATACTTTCTAGTCATTAGTAAATAGTGCTGCACGCATTATATTATTAAATACTTGAAACGATCAAAGACTTTTGTTTCTTCTGTATGGTTTTGGAGTTAGACCAATTCCTGCAATGAGCAACTTTGTTTGTTTAGACTGAATTTGTCACTTCTTGCTGATGGTATTTTTTAAAACATACAGTTCATGTATTCCTTGTTTCTAAAAAATTTGTTAAGTTTACATTTGAACAAGAATCTCATATCTTAAAGAAACAGAGCTATAGTAGGATTTAAACATATTTTCTTAATAAACTTTATAAAACGGATTTCTAAAGCTTGGCGCAATTGTAAATGTCTACTGAAAAAAAGAAAATGAAATGAGGAACGACAAGTATTGCAGATTTCTTTACATCAACAGTTTATCTATACAACTGAATCCCATGTGCGTAGTACATTTGGTCAACAACAGTGAACCACTTGAGAACAAAACTTTCTTTTTCAGTCTTTCATCACATTGTATATTTACTTAAAACTGTCGAATAAATGATCTTCATGAGAAAATAATGACATGTATGAAATTTATGATGAAAATTGGGTGAAAATTATTGCAACCTCTGATCCCTTCAGAAGATATTCCTGCATGGACTTTCATTGACCTGTCATACATTTTTTCGGGAGGGAGGAGGAAAAAGGGGCGGTTGAAAGGAGGAAGTGGAAAGGAGAAAAGAGGTAATTTCCATAACATGATAAAGACAACCATAATTATTTGGCTTCATTTTCACTAAAGTAACAAACACTATTTGCTTGTATGAAAGGCATTAATTCTTACGGATGATTTGAACGGGCAAAAGGAAGTCTTAATGACCAAAAAATCATAGTTAAGCGAATGATCAAATGATGGTGATGGAAACTTAGCATATTGCATTATTTGAAAAGCAAAGTATGGCACATTCAAATATAATTGAAGGAAAATGTACCTGTTTTAGTTGTTTAGAGACAATCTGTCTGGGTTTTTTTTACATTAATTAGCCTTCTTTAGCTACTTTTGCTAAAAATGCAAGACTCTGAGCAAAATGTGCTAATTGTCCAGGAAGTTGAACAAGATAGCGATGTCATAAACAAACTTATGACGCAGAAACTTGAAAAGTCTCCGGTCTTGTTGCGACAAAACTCAAAAAGTACACCGATACTCAATATATAAAAAAAGATTTTGGAATAATAAAAGATTTTTGTTTCTGTTGCATGGATTTTTTGGGGTTAAGCAGTTCATATAATCATACAGAATAATGCTTTTTCAGCTGATTTATGTGTGTGAACGGGCATCTTTATTTTTTATAACTTCTTGTTAAAACAATTCATTGGAAAAACATACCCTACGTCTTTCAAAAGCACTTCTTAAGATAATATGTTAACCAAAGAAGACATTCTCCTTTGACTTAGAACTAAACGTAAATTAAAATGTCTTAATTTAAGGTATTGTTAAGAAGTGACGAATCTAAGCTAATGTGTTGGCGACATTCTGCTTTTTGCTCTGTTATAAAACAGAGAATAACTAACCTTTACAGCAGTCGTGCCTGAAGAAAAAGTAATCACGATAAACTTTCGTTATTTCACATCACTTTTGACAAATAAATAAATCGACGAGCATAAAATATTTGTGTGAAATTCTGAAAAATTCATGATATGCCTCACGCAAAAACACTCAAATACTTGAGAAAAAACTTATAATTTATGCATCATTATGCATACTTGAAAATGCTGAAGCACCGATATTGGTCTTCTTCAATTTACCACGAAAGATTTTTTGTACTGACTTTGGAATTAATTATAATATATTTGTGGCTAGGTTTAAAAGAACAATTTAGGAGTGTACGTAGCTATGTAACATATCCGATAATTTACAAACATATATCCGATAATTCGTCGATGGGCATTATGGTAAATAATCAATTTTGTTTTTTTCGAATAAAAAGGTTAAAAAGAAACTCTCTTAGGGCTAAAGCAAGCAATGATTCATTAATGAATGAATAATGAAGGAGCTAGATGAAAGAAAAAATCCAATATAACATCTACGGGGATATCCGTTTAGGCAAACTCTCAAAGAGACAAAGAAATTCGTTTGTAGCTTAAACATTATAAATGCTCGTCCCTTTTTCAACATTCTCCAGAGTTACAGGGCGTAAGCGGGAATTGAACTCAGTGGTAGGCGACTCAGAAGAAAGCAACAGGTTAAGTTGAATACAGGTATGTGCTACTTAAACTTCGTTGCGCATTAAGTTTGATAATGAATTGTTTTTTGAAAAGCAACGAAGCTTACAATCACCGACCTTTGTCAAATTAAAAATACACAACTTTTCAAATTTTCATGTATCTTTACACTGTCATTGGTCTAATGTTTACATAAAAATAATTTATGCACAAAGAACGTCTGTAATATTATGGGCAGGCCATTCTTTGAAGATTTGAACATATTTACGCTTTTTATAAGATATGCAAATTTTTATTGCCTGTTTGTATAAAACCAAAGTGAAAACAAAGTATAATTGTGACACTTCACTATACATTATTGATATTTTGAGCATATAATAGTAGATTTAATATAAGGAATTGCAACTTACAACCTGCATGACATTCGTCGACTGAGATTTTCCAGACAGAAATTCCATATATTTTTGAATTTTACAGCCCAATATACAATTTTAACAAAGCCACTTCAAGGTTTCTGATTCAAAGAGGCTCTGTGAACTTTTATTATTCAAGTGAAACAACATTAGAATGATTTTCACCAGTAATATTAGAGCTTAGAGGGCAATGTCATACAAGATTTGTTATATTGTGAAAACATAATACACGTCATTCATGCAGTATAGTCAAGTTTAAAATCGCTGCGCAATATTTTATTCAGATTTGTACACTTGAACACTGATGAATTTTTATCAACAGCTCTGGAAAATTTGTTGTTAGGGCCAATGCTTAAAGCCTTAAATGATAAAGTGTTGTGGAGTAGGTTGGGATGAACAGAAGAAATTTAAAGAATGAGGTTGCCACGATGCGATATTAAGAATGACGCATAAGTAATCATTCTTTGCTAATTTGAAGTGTTTATTTATATGCATTAGTTTTTTCAGTTCTGTGACACACACAAAAACACTCACAACATACTTTAAACATAATTTTTAAAAATTACTGCAATTCGAAAATGCTAACATGTGCAGTGTACATAAATTAAAACTGTTCTGTTTTTGTAGAAACTTTACTACGATTATGAGTGCACTTAAACTTGTCATCGCAACTCTGACACTGATTGTTCTGGTACAATCCGTGATTTCCATCAGAGGATTCAGAAGAAAACGATATAGAAATCCATATAGATACGTCACAAGATGTAAACCGCAAACCGAGAAATGTGTTTCTCTCAGATGCGGCAGAATTTCAAGAATTGCCCATCTGCCATTTAGTTACAGTTATGCCTGCTGCACTGGTAAGATATAATTTCTGATTCTATAAAGGCACTTAATAAGCTGTGCAATGACTCTGGAACATTAGGGGGAGGTGCATACTACCATGAGAGCATACTCTATATGTAGGACAGTGCTTTTGACCCCTCTCCACAGATTACCACATCATGCTGTGTATAGTTTCATTTCAAGAATACATTATGACGTTTTTATTCAACAATCACTGATTTTGTAACCCATCTATTTCTCAGGAAGATTATATGATGAAAGGAATTATGTCTGTGTCCGTTACCGCTACCGTCGTTATTCAAGAATCGTATTGCAAAGATGTAATCCATGTCGCCAATTTAGATGTGGCAGTGGAGAATGTACATTAAAACGATGGCGATGCAATAACGTGAAAGATTGTACTGATGGAAGTGATGAGGTAGTTAATCATTAGTGAGTTTGTTTATGATAAAATTTATATGAATTGGCATGGCCAGATTCCCCATACTCACAGTATGCATTTATGTCGCTCTAGCTAGTCTATTAAAACGATTTATGTTTATAATTTGATCTGGTAACTGTTGCAACTCTCAACGGAGGAATTTTGTGAAGCTGTCATGTCAATCGTTTAAATTTAAATTCTGGCGGTGCAGCAATCATGCTAAACCTATGCTTATTGTTATCAAGCAATCAGAAGTTACTGACAAACATTCAGAATTTAAGGAAATAGTTTTGAGAAAAGTAACCACGCTCTTTTCTCTCGTTTTACGTAGAATTAGATTGTTTGACATAAAATCATTTCTTGCACTTCTACCCTTGCGCACACTTGCATCAAAATGATGATGAAAATAATGCATTAAGGTTTATTTTGCAAAGCTGATCATCATTTTTACATTAGCGTAAATTTTAAGACTTTTAATCAATTTGGTTTCGATTAAAATCACTTCGCTACAAGTGTTAATAATGACCTTATTTTGCTGTTGTTTCAAAACAATTTGAAGTATTATGCGCAACGTTTTCACAGCAAAAATACAAAACAAATCTATTTTCACGTTTATATTTCCTACTACGATCTTCAGTTGATTAGTTACATGAAACTTTTAGATGCATGCAACGTTTTAAAGTACGTTTTAGATCTGGAAATTTCATAAAGGCCAAACAATTGCTAAAAAAGCTACGTTAGACATCACAATTCTCTTCCAGGACATTTTAAGGAAAATCATTTTGTGTCAATTCGTTGTAAATTATAGACGGCATTAATTTCATTTGTGTATCTTACATCATTAAAGTCTTACTTTGCGCTGTTCAAACAAGTGCTGTCATCTGTTTAGGTTGGTTGTCGTAAGTGCCGTCGTAGATCATATCTGTTTGCTTGCAGAAGTGTAAAAAGATGCGTTCATAAAAGCAGAGTTTGTGACAAAATCAACAATTGTGCAGATGGATCTGATGAAGTTGGATGTCCAACTCCACGTGGCAACAAATGTGGACCAAACTCCTATCGTTGCCGAAATAACAAGTAATGTCTCTGCTTATTTTTAAGTCCTTTGCAGGATTATGCGTATGCATGTCAATGAAATTTCAAATTTGATGTTGGGTATAAAATTGTGAAGGCCATTTCCTGGGAATATTTCATACGCCTTTTTTAGTCAGCTTTATAGGTGCATTACTTAAAAGAAAAGTTAATGAGAACATTCAATTTGTGAGAAGAAAACAAAAAATTGATGCGAGTCTACCAGTATTGCTGATGTTAAAAACACTAATTGAATCGCCTCTATTTTAACATGCAATCTTTTGAATATTCACAAAACTGGTGCACAGGTCTTAAATGATTTGCTCTTCAAGACATCAGCATATAATCTTCTCTCTGGACATATCTTATTTAAGAAATAAAAGATGTTTACTATGTTTGCACAGAACTCAAGAGCAGATCAGTGCATGCCCGAGACCGAAGGTCGAGTGTTGCACCGACTCGAGAGTTAGCTGCTACCCCTTGCGGAGAAGTTATTTCCAGCACGCCACTGACCTCACTTAAATTCAAGAGAAGTGTAAACCGTGTAATTTGAATATAAAACTATGAATTAATTCATTTTGTTGCAGGTGCATTCACTGGAGATTTGCATGCAATGGTTATAATAACTGTGGAGATTGGTCTGATGAAAAAGGTTATTTCTGTAGAAGGTATGGACTTCTAAGACGTCGTCGTGGAAGATTAGGTAAAAAACGAGACGAAATTCCCAATGATGATGTGAGCAATGATGAAGTGAGCAATGGTGGGGATGGTGAAACAGGAACTACTTCCGGCTGAATTTTTGATTTGAGAACTCGTTTATACTCAGGATTAGGTAGTTTCACAATTACTTTGCATTAGCGTGTAGTTTATTGATTTACTTGTAACTTTTTTTTTGGCAAGTTAATCGTTATCTCAAATAAATATCTGCAAAAATATTGGTGTGTGAACTAAGCTCAAGAACCAATCAAAACTTTATCTCGGCATCCCATAATGACAACATGTGGAAAACAGAAACCTTATTAACTAGACAGAACATTTCCATTCTATCAAGGTTGTCTAAAATTTAATTGATTATTTGACTTACCGCTGTCATGCGCAATTGCAAAGTTCTTGTCACCATGGCGAAAATTCTTTGTCGACAGAGGAAAGAATTTCTTCTAGTAACAAAGTCTTAATCAAAGCTTCTATTGCATTATATTATGATTGCAATATATGAACAATTTTGTTCGTTGCTTTTTTCAAGAATACTGTTTTGGGATTACAACAATTGAAAACACAACAAATCTGTCATACGTTTAACAAAGCCAGTTCACTGCTACGAACACATGTTTATAATTCTAAATTTTTGCTATAATAAAATAGCAAATGAGTAGAATTGGAAAATCACTTAAAATAGGTTAAATACAGTCGACAGGATTAACTTTTCTTCCTTTCTATTTTGCTTGAAGTCGTCATGTAGTGCAGGCCAACATTTTTAATGCGATTAACGTATAATGTGCTAAGAATCTGCATAATGAAATTTGCTTCATTTAAAAGGAATTTTCACACACTATCAAGTAACGTGTTATCTTATGTCTTTCTTACAAAAAAAGCTCTCAACGCAACAGGAAAATTCTCTAGGAAGTTAGTCCAGCAAGATATTTTATGTTACAGTGACAAGTGTCACTTGTAGGGATTACAACAATTGAAACCCGACAAGTCTGTCATACGTTTAACAAAGCCAGTTCACTGCTACGAACACATGTTTATAATGTATTATTCAATCATATTGTCTGCACTTTTAAATTTTTTGCTAAAATAAAGGTAGGAAATGAGTAGGCATTGGAAAATCACTTAAGATAAACAGGTTAAGCACAGTTGACAGGATTAACTTTTCTTCTTTTCTATTTTCGTTTGAAGTCGTCATGTAGCGCAGGCCAACATACTATAAAGTAACAAGTGACATTATGTAGGAGTGAAAACTATGTAGCCTTTCGACGAAGATGTCGCAACGAAAGTCATTAGTGCATGTTATCATTTATCATACTATAATACTTACGCTGTTAGAACTACATGATGTGCTATATTAATAAAGATGCAAATGAGAACAGCTCAAAATTTATCTACTCATATTATGCGTAGATGGTGTTGATCTTCACCATTAGAAGACTATGAAGTACTTTAACCTAAAGCAGCGTGTCTAATATTCTTACTAACCTATTGATCCCAGAGGAAGAACTACTTGTTATAAAATACATAATTATTTTTTATTGTGTAGCTTACATTAATAACGTTTTGGTACATTAACTATCCCAGTATAATTCAATCAAACCATTTTTTACTTGCAATAAGTTTTTTTAATGCTTGTGTAAGTTAGTAAATTCAAATTATTTCCTCGATTTTTTTAAATCAATTTTATTGAAAATTTGAACTTGTACAAGTTCTTTCTAAAAACTTTTCTCTGCAGTTAATTTATATTTCGTTCTTACACGTATAATACCACAATGTGTAATTATGAAAAAACATTCACCCTGGTAGAATGAATACAAGTTAGAAGAGCTTATTCGATTTTTAACGAGCTGCAAAATGACAAGCACCCCATTTAAAAGAATTTTAATCGGTGATCAATGCGTAATTACAAAAAATATGACGCTCATAACACCATGCATACATTATGTTACCTGGGAAGACAAACAAATATTGCCACGTCTTAAATAATCTTATTGCGAGGGAATAATTTGATCGTCACGACCAAACTCAACATTCAGTGAATGCTAGCATTGAACATATTGAAATACCTATAATTATTCACTGAACTAATATTGAATTAATATAAATGAAATACTTATGTTATATCATGTTAATAATTTGTTTCAATGTTGAATGGATTAATGGAACTGCTGTTAAAGGGTGTGAAAACCCTTCATGTGCAATAGCGGTGAGCCTGTAAAAAGCTTTTTTATCATGGTTTCTGTTTCTTTCTTTTTATGTTGAATTATTATAATCATTAACCAAGTATACAGCATGCACGCAAATATTGAAGACAGGCTGTCGAAATCATGTTTACAAATGATGTTACTTGATAATTGTTTAACATCCATCATTTGGAAATGATTGTGTTTCCACTAAAAGAATTTAAATATTTTAAGACAAACTGGTGCAGTTTAAACTCCTTTCTTCAGTCAGCGATAGACAGTATTGTAAATATTAAACACAACAAATAAACTTGCTGAAATGAATCTTGCACAACAAATAAACTTGATAAATGAATCATTTATTACTTATTTGCTGCATTTATTTCATTATTCATTTGTCGTAGGTCTTTGATTTATGATCGAATGACAGTTAAAAACAGTCTCATGAACATATGAATAATGATAAGCTTCAACAAAATAAATATTGTAAATAACTTTGCTCTTAGCGTTCGTTCCTCTATTTTCCGTATTATACTTGGCAATAAAAATTTATTTTTGTCGTTTAGAATTAACCATTCATGAAGTAGAACTAATTAATTTTTGTTACTTAGCTACTGAATTAATTAAACCTGCATAAAGAGCAGACTGATTTTTCTTTTCATTAACAGCTTCTATGGAAAGTTGTACCCAAAAATGTACAAATTCTCTTTTAAAATATCGAAGAGTTGACAATTTAAAATATGTAGCAGAGTAATATCAAGCTTCGTAATAGGCATGTTTACGCATGTGCATTGTTGCAGAAATAGAGAAACAAGAGCAGTTGATGATTCTGTTTTGGCAATCATTTATCAAGCAGAACTAATTTAAATGTTATAAATTGTGACAACTATAGACGGTGGTCAAAGTCACTATAACGACTTATTGTTTTGTATAGGGATTAACTATACCGATGTGAAACAAATAATATCATGCAGATGCTGTCATACTTCGGTCTTTTTTGTCACCTATTCATGAAGAAGAACTAACCTAAGTTTCACAGTGATTGACATAACAAATTTCTATTATGCATGGGGATGAATTATGCCTGTCTGAAATGGTTAGAAATAATCTCTTTTTTAGCGACATGTTAAGTGAAAAAGGTCGTTGTGTAAATACTATAGGACAGCAGTAGAAAGTTGTTGAATTTTAGAAACAAGCTTTGAGAACATTTGATGCAGTATTTACTTTTTTAAATTTACTTGCATTCATGCAATGTCACATCGTGGCTACTTTTAGGTTCAATTTCGGAGTTTTTATTGAAAGCTTCATTATCTTTATGAACACTGATTGATCAAGTAATAACTGTTATTTAAAAAGTTTAATGTCTTCTGTTTCAGTTTGTCTATTTGCTCCGTCAAATATATGTTTCTCCAGGCCTTGCACATAGACTTGATTAATTATAGCCCGTTTACGTTTTGATTAAGTTTACTTAGACTTTTAACAACGATTTAATCACATCTTTTCATCAATTTCCGATGTAGCATTACCTAAGAAAATTAATGCTCTTTAATTGTTCGGCATCATGTCGTCAAAGGGTGGTCAATACGGCACACATCACAGTCTTTAGCTACAAGACTTGATGTTATGTATCCTATATATTTCGGAATAAAACTTTAACAAATTATCTTGTATATTTCTTTCGACGTTGCGGCTATGGGCGAAGAATTTTGATGCTTTGTGCGCCTCATATATGCATGTATGCATGTTATAATCCTTTCAAAACATTGCATTTCAAAAGAACTTAACTATGCATATCTAAATTACCAATACCAATCTTTCATCAAAAATTTATAAATGCATTTCTTTTTTCAAAAGCACGTCACTTTTGGCGTCGCCTCGTGCAGTTTTAGCAGCGCATCAATAGCAACAGACCTCTCTTGATATACGCTTTAGAAGTAAACAGTTGGTCGAAGAACACTCAAGTATGTGCTTCTTATAACTAATTTTATATGAAGTCAGAGATTTTGGCAATATTTTAGAGATCCTTAAGTTATGCAACCGCAAAGGCTTGATTTTCTTTCACAAAATTTTGTTTGGCTTCGTGCTTGCCCACAAGTGTTTCAGGCGAACCTATATGGTAATTTTACTGTGTCTACTGCAAACTGCCGCGCAATTTTTTATTCAGATTTGTACACTTGATTACTATGACAGACGAATTTTTATGGAGAGTACTAGGAAATTTGTTATCAGGGCTTTGGATGTTATAATGCTGTGAAGTGTGGTGGGGTTGATATAAAAGGTTAAAGAAAGAAACAAAACAAACAAATTAAGGTTTTTATGTTTCGAACTTAAAAAATGGCGTATAAATCATTCTTTGCTATTTTGGAGAGTTTATCGTATGCACTTTGCTGTGCCAGTTCTTTGTGAAACGAAAAAGCACTCGAGTAGATACTTCAAATACCGTTTTAAAAATCACTGTAATTTAAAAATGCCAATAAGTGCAGTGTATATACATTAAAACTGCTCTTTTGTATAGAAACTTTGCTACGATTATGAGCGTGTTTAAATTTTTCATCGCAACTCTAACACTAATCGTTCTGGTACAAGCCGTTATTTCCATCAGAGTAATCAGAAGACGATATAGAAATCCGTATAGATACGTCCCAAAATGTAAACCACGAACCGAGAAATGTGTTTCTCTCAGATGCGGCAGGTTTTCAAGAACTGTCCATCTGCCGTTTAGTTACAGCTATGCCTGCTGCACTGGTAAGATATACTTTCTGTAAAACCATATTAAATATTAATCAAGTTAATACAGACTTAATAAGTTATGAAGGGACTGTGGAGTGTTTTAAAATAGTGGGGATAGGTGTGTATACATAATAGCATAAATTGCTTTTAATTAATACCTTAACCAAATATGTATAGTTTTATTACAAGAATGAATTACGACGTTTTTGTTCAATCAATCATTGGCTTTCTTAATGAATCTATTTCTCAGGAAGATTATATGATGAAAGGAATTATGTCTGTGTCCGTTACCGCTACCGTCGTTATTCAAGAATCGTTTTGCAAAGATGTAATCCGTGTTGCCAATTTAGATGTGCCAGTGGAGGTTGTACATTGAAACGATGGCGATGCAATAGCGTGAAAGATTGTACTGATGGAAGTGATGAGGTAGTTAATCATTAGTGAGTTTTGTTTATGATAAAATTTATATGAATTGGCATGGCCAGATTCCCTATACGCACAGTATGCATTTATGTCGCTCTAGCTAGTCTATTCAAACGTCTTGTGTTTATAACTTGGTCTCGTTACTGTTGCAATTCTCAACAGAGGAATTTTGTGAAGCTGTCATGTCGATAATTTAAATTTAAGTTCTGGCGGTGCAGCACTCATCCTAAGCCTATGCTTATTGTTATCAAGCAATCAGAAGTTACTGACAAAAATTCAGAATTTAAGGAAATAGTTTTGAGAAAAGTAACCACGCTCTTTTCTCTCGTTTTACGTAGAATTAGATTGTTTGACATAAAATTATTTCTTGCACTTCTACCCTTGCGCACACTTGCATCAAAATGATGATGAAAATAATGCACAAAGGTCTATTTTGCAAAGCTGATCATCTTTGTTACATTAGCGTACATTTTAAGACTTTTAATCAATTATGTTCCGCTTAAAATCACTTTGGTACAAGTGTTAACAATGACCTTATTTGCTGTTTTTTCAAAACAATTTGAAGTATCATGCGCAAAGTTTTCAAAGCAAAAATACAAAAGAAATCTATTTCTATTCAGTTGATTAGTTACAAGAAACTTTTACATGCATGCAACGTTTTAAAGTACGTTTTAGATCTGAAAATTTTATAAAGGCGAAACAATTGCTAAAAAAGCTACGGTAGACATCACACTTCTCTTTAAGAACATTTTAAGGAAAATCATTTTGTGTCAACTCGTTGTAAATCTTAGATGACATTAATTTCATTTGTGTTTCTTACATCATTAAAGACTTATTAAAGTCTTACTTTGCGCTGTTTAAACAAGTGCTGTCGTCTGTTTAGGTTGGTTGTCGCAAGTGCCGTCGTAGATCATATCTGTTTGCTTGCAGAAGTGTAAAAAGTTGCGTTCATAAAAGCAGAGTTTGTGACAAAGTGAACAATTGTGCAGATGGATCTGATGAAGTTGGATGTCCAACTCCACTTGGAAACAAATGTGGACCAAACTCTTATCGTTGCCGAAATGACAAGTAATGTCTCTGCTTATATTAAGTCATTTGCAGGAATATGAATATGCTTGTGAATGAATTTTCAAATTTGATGTTGGGTATAAAATGCTGAAGGAAATCTCCTGAGATTATTTCATACGCCTTTTTTAGTCAGCTTTATATGTGCATTACTCAAGAGAAAAGTTAATGAGAACATTCAATTTGTGAGAAGAATATAAAAATTTGATGCGAGTCTACCAGTATTGCTGATGTTAAAAACACTAATTGAATCGCCTCTATTTTAGCATGCAATCTTTTGAATATTCACAAAACTGGCGCACAGGTCTTAAATGATTTGCTCTTCAAGACATCAGCATATAATCTTCTCTCTGGACATATCTTATTTAAGAAATAAAAGATGTTTACTATGTTTGCACAGAACTCAAGAGCAGATCAGTGCATGCCCGAGACCGAAGGTCGAGTGTTGCACCGGCTCGAGAGTTAGCTGCTACCCCTTGCGGAGAAGTTATTTCCAGCACGCCACTGACCTCACTTAAATTCAAGAGAAGTGTAAACCGTGTAATTTGAATATAAAACTATGAATTAATTCATTTTGTTGCAGGTGCATTCACTGGAGATTTGCATGCAATGGTTATAATAACTGTGGAGATTGGTCTGATGAAAAAGGTTATTTCTGTAGAAGGTATGGACTTCTAAGACGTCGTCGTGGAAGATTAGGTAAAAAACGAGACGAAATTCCCAATGATGATGTGAGCAATGATGAAGTGAGCAATGGTGGGGATGGTGAAACAGGAACTACTTCCGGCTGAATTTTTGATTTGAGAACTCGTTTATACTCAGGATTAGGTAGTTTCACAATTACTTTGCATTAGCGTGTAGTTTATTGATTTACTTGTAACTTTTTTTGGCAAGTTAATCGTTATCTCAAATAAATATCTGCAAAAATATTGGTGTGTGAACTAAGCTCAAGAAACAATCAAAACTTTATCTCGGTATCCCATAATGAGAACATGTGGAAAAAAGAAACCTTACGAACTAGACAGAACACTTCCATTCTATCAAGGTTGTCAAAGTTTTAATTGATTATTTGACTTACCGCTGTCATGGGCAATTGCAAAGCTCTTGTCACAATGTCGTAAATTTTTTGTCGACTGATGAAACATTTTCTTTTACTAATAGCTAAAGTCTTAATCAAAGCTGTTATTGCAATATATATTAGGATTGCAATATATAAACAATTTAGTTCGTTGCGGTTTTCAAGAATATTGTTTTATTGTGATTACAACAAATAAACAGGTTAATTACAGTCGACAGGATCAACTTTTCTTCTTTTCTATTTTGTTTGAAGTCGTCGTTGTAGTGCAGGCCAACATTTTTAATGCTATTAACATATAATGTGATTAAAAACTGCATAATGAAATTTACTTCATTTAAAAGGAATTTTCACACACTATCATATAACGTGTGTTATCTTATGTCTTTCTTACAAAAAACAGCTCTCAACACAACGGAGAAAATTCTCTTGCAAGTTAGTCCAGCCAGGTATTTCATGTTACAGTGACAAGCGTTATTATGTATGAGAAAAAACCAAGTAGCTTCTCGACGAAGATGTCGCAACGAAAGTCATTAGTGCATGTTATAATTTATTGTACTATAATACTTACGCTGTAAGAAATACATAAAGTGCTATAATAATAAAGAAGCAAATGAGAATGGCTCAAAACTTATCTACTCATATTATGCGTACATGTGATGATCTTCACCATTAGAAAGCTATGGACTACAATAATCTTAGGCAGCATGTCTAATATATATACTAACCTATTGAAGCCAGAGGAGGAACCACTAGTTATAAAATACGTCATTATTTTTTATTGGTGTAGCTTACATTAACGTTTTGGTACTTTAACTATCCTAATGTAATCCAATCAAACAATTTTTTAATGGCAAGAAGTTTTTTAATGCTTGAGTAAGTTAGTAAATTAGAATTATTTCCTCGATTTTTTTTTCAAATCAAGTTTGTTGAAAATTTGAACTTGTACAAGTTCTTTCTAAAAACTTTTCTCTGCAGTTAATTTATATTTCGTTCTTACACGTATAATACCACAATGTGTAAACATGAAAAAATATTCACCCTGGTAGAATGAATATAAATTAGAAGAGCTTATTCGATTTTTAACGAGCTGCAAAATGGCAAGACCACATTTAAAAGAATTTTAATCGGTGATCAATGCGTAATTACAAAAATCATGACGCTCTTAACACCATGCATACACAATATTACCTGGGAAGTCAAACAAATATTGCCACGTCTTAAATAATCTTATTGCGAGCGAATAAATTGATCGTCACGACCAAACTCAACATTCAGTGCATGCTACCATTGAACATATTGAAATACCTATAATTAGTCACTGAACTAATATTGAATTAATATAAATGAAATACTTATGTTATATTATGTTAATATTTTGTTTCAATGTTGAATAAATTAAATGAACTTCTGTTTAAATGGTGAGAAAATCCTTAATGTGCAATAGCGGTGAGCCTGTAAAAAGCTTTTATCATGGTTTCTGCTTCTTTCTTTTATGTTGAATTATTATAATCATCAACCAAGTGTACAGCATGCACGTCAAATATTGAAGACAGGCTGTCGAAATCATGTTTAAAAATGATGTTACTTGATTATTGTTCAACATCTACCATTAGGAAATAATTGTGTTTCCACTAAAAGAATTTAAATATTTCAAGACAAACTGGTGCAATTTAAACTCCTATCTTCAGTCAGCGATAAACAGTATTGTAACTATTAAACACAACAAATAAACTTGCTAAAATGAGGCTTGAACAACTAATAAACTTGATAAATGAATCATTTATTACTTATTTGCTGCATTTATTTCATTATTCATTTGTTGTACGTCTTTGATTTATGATTGATTGACAGCTAAAAACAGTCTCATGAATATATGAATAATGATAAGTTTTAAGAAAATAAATATTGTAAATAACTTTGCTCTTAGCTTTCGTTCTTCTATTTTCCGTATTATATGTGGCAATAAGAATTTATTTTTGTCGTTGAGAATTAACCATTCATGAAGTAGAACTAATTAATTTTTGTTACTTAGCTACTGAATTAATTCAACTTGCACATAGAGCAGACTGATTTTTGTTTTTATTGGCAGCTTCTCTCGAAAGTTGTTCAGCTAATTTAGTTTACACGGCAAACGATATTTTCTACCCATTAATGTACAATTTCACTTTTAAAATATCGAACAGTTGACAGATTAAAATATTGAGCACAGTAAATTCAAGGTTCGTAATAGGCATGTTTACGCATGTGCATTGTTGCAGAAATAGAGAAACAAGAGCAGTTGATGATTCTGTTTTTGGCAATCATTTATCAAGCAGAACTAATTTAAATGTTATAAATTGTGACAACTATAGACGGTGGTCAAAGTCACTATAACGACTTATTGTTTTGTATAGGGATTAACTATACCGATGTGAAACAAATAATATCATGCAGATGCTGTCATACTTCGGTCTTTTTTGTCACCTATTCATGAAGAAGAACTAACCTAAGTTTCACAGTGATTGACATAACAAATTTCTATTATGCATGGGGATGAACTATGACTGTCTGAAATGGTTAGAAATAATCTCTTTTTTAGCGACATGTTAAGTGAAAAAGGTCGTTGTGTAAATACTATCGGACAGCAGTAGAAAGTTGTTGAATTTTAGAAACAAGCTTTGAGAACATTTGATGCAGTATTTACTTTTTTAAATTTACTTGCATTCATGCAATGTCACATCGTGGCTATTTTAGGTTCAATTTCGGAGTTTTTATGGAAAGCTTCGTTATCTTTATGAACACTGATTGATCAAGTAATAAATGTTATTTAAAAAGTTTAATGTCTTCTGTTTCAGTTTGTCTATTTGCTCCGTCAAATATATGTTTCTCCAGGCCTTGCACATAGACTTGATTAATTATAGCCCGTTTACGTTTTGATTAAGCTCACTTAGACTTTTAACAACGATTTGATCACATCTTTTTCATCAATTTCCGATGTAGCATTACCTGAGAAAATTAATGCTCTTTAATTGTTCGGCATCATGTCGTCAAAGGGTGGTCAATACGGCACACATCACAGTCTTTAGCAACAAGACTTGATGTTATGTATCCTATTTATTTCGGAATAAAACTTTAACAAATTATCTTGTATATTTCTTTCGACGTTGCGGCTATGGGCGAAGAATTTTGATGATTTGTACGCCTCATATATGCATGTATGCATGTTATAATCCTTTCAAAACATTGCATTTCAAAAGAACTTAACTATGCATATCTAAATTACCAATACCAATCTTTCATCAAAAATTTGTAAATGCATTTCTCTTTTTCAAAAGCACGTCACTTTTAGCGTCGCCTCGTGCACTTTCAGCAGCGCGTCAATAGCAACAGAGCTCTCTTCATAGACGCTTCAGAAGAAGACAGTTGGTCGAAGAACACTGAAGTATGTGCTTCTTATAACTAATTATATATGAAGTCAGAGATTTTGGCAATATTTTTAGAGATCCTTAAGTTATGCAACCGCAAAAGGCTTGATTTTCTTTCACAAAAAACTTTTGTTTGGCTTCGTGCTTGCCACAATTGTTTCAGGCGAACCTAAATGGCAACTATACTGTGTTATAATCAACTTCAAAAATTGCTGCGCAATTTTTTATTCAGATTTGTACACTTGGTCACTATGAAAGACGAATTTTATGTAGAGTTCTAGGAAATTTGTTATCAGGGCTTTGCATTGCACAATGTTACGAAGTGGTTTTTATTTTCCGAACCTAAAAATGGCGTATAAATCATTCTTTGCTATTTTGGAGAGTTTATCGTATGCACTTTGCTGTGCCAGTTCTTAGTGAAACACAAAAGCACTCGAGTAGATACTTCAAATACCGTTTTAAAAATCACTGTAATTTAAAAATGCCAATAAGTGCAGTGTATATACATTAAAGCTGCTCTTTTGTATAGAAACTTTGCTACGATTATGAGCGTGTTTAAATTTTTCATCGCAACTCTAACACTGATGGCTCAGGCACAAGCCGTTATTTCCATCAGAGTATTCAGAAGACGATATAGAAATCCGTATAGATACGTCACAAAATGTAAACCGCAAACCGAGAAATGTGTTTTTATTCAGATTTGTACACTTGAACACTGACGAATTTTTATCAAAAGCTCTGGAAAATTTGTTGTTAGGGCCAATGCTTAAAGCCTTAAATGTTAAAGTGTTGTGGAGTGGGTTGGGGTGAATAGAAGAAATTTAAAGAATGAGGTTGCCACCAGTGGCGTGCGGTGACCGAATTTAATAGGCAAGCGCTGACAGTGATTCCACAATGCATTCAGTCATGTTGTACAGGTGTCGTGAAAATACCGAATGTAGAAGTAGAACATAAAAGGATGAAAATTCCTATGCTATATATTTTATAGGAACATCAATCTTATTTATACCTTACATCAGTTACATGATATCTACCGGATACAAATATCAAAACTACTACGCAAAAGGAAGCTCTTGTCAATATCATAATCTTGTATTACATGCTACAGATAATATCTTCTACATACATAAATTGCAAGACAATAGGCGCGAAATGTATTGTAGCAGTCGTGATTATAACAATTAAGAACAGCCAGTTTCGCGAACAAAATTGGCACGGTGTGTTACAAACTGAGGCCATGGCGTTTTTTAATGTTTATATTTTGGTATAATGACGTCATGGCAACGTGTTCTCCCGTTCTTCAAAATGTGTCTGGCACTGACTCGTACGTTTCAGAATATCGGAGAGTCGTGTTTATTATTTAGTATCTTGTACCTTTTATTTTTAGTCATTAATTTACGAATTCAACGACACAAGACTGACAAGAGCATAGTGTTTTGGTCATAATGCTAGTCATACTTTACCACAACACACGTTTGCGTGCATTTCGATATCTCTGCAGACTGCGGCCCTGCTTGTTTACGCACATTGTGCGCAGAAAATAATAAAATAACCAGTAAAGCACCTACTACTTTGAATTAGAAATCAGAACATTACCTTTCGCTCTCAGTCATCTTTTAATAAACGATAACATTAACAGCGTGAATAATTCGGATGTCCAATGTGTTGAATATACGAATATTATTCGCGCGCTGATATGTGTTTAAAATTGCGAGCGTATAAGACTGTTGACCAATCGCTATCAAGCGGCGCCCTTAGAAGCGCCGCTTGCCTTTTCTCGATATTTCTCGAATAAGAAGCCTCCAAATTTAGATTAACGCATGCGCAAATGTTCAAATTGAGCTCCGAAGGCAAGCGCGCTTGCCTTGGTTAATAAATAAGAAATTTTTAAGGTGTATTTAATCCACTTGACTCATCTTAAAAGTGTGGCAAAGTGAAACCGAAAACCACGACAGTAAATCACGTATAAATAGCAAGCATTTCAACTGTAAAGACAATTTAGACAAAAGATTTCATTGACATTGTTTAGAACAGAAAAATTTAAACTGATTTTGCTCAGAGATTGATCCAAAAAATTTTTGTTCGGTAAAATGCTTAGGCAAGCGCTTTGCCTACGCTTGCATGACCGCACGCCACTGGTTGCCACATTGCGATATTAAGAATGACGCATAAGAAATCATTCTTTGCTAATTTGAAGTGTTTATTTATATGCACTTAGTTTTTTCAGTTCTGTGACACACACAAATCACTCGCAACATACTTTAAACATAATTTTTAAAAATTACTGCAATTCGAAAATGCTAACATGTGCAGTGTACATACATTAAAACTGCTCTGTTTTTGTAGAAATTTCGCTACGATTATGAGTGCAATTAAAACTGTCATCGCAACTCTGACACTGATTGTTCTGGTACAATCCGTGATTTCCATCAAATTGTTCAGAATACGACATAGAAATCCGTATAGATACGTCACAAGATGTAAACCGCAAACCGAGAAATGTGTTTTCTCAGATGCGGCAGATTTTCAAGAACTGCCCGTCTGCCGTTTAGTTACAGTTATGCTTGCTGCACTGGTAAGATATATTTTCTGATTGTATAAAGCCACGTTGTTTACTTTTGATCAAGGACTAATTCAATAAGCTGTGCAACGACTGTGGAACATTAGGGGGAGGTGCATACTAGTATGAGAGCATACTCTATATGTAGGACAGTGCTTTTGACCCCTCATCATAGCTTAGCGCATCATGCTATGTATAGTTTTATTTCAAGGATACATTATGACGTTTTGTTCAATCATTCACTGATTTTGTAACCCATTTATTTCTCAGGAAGATTATATGACGAAAGGAATTATGTTTGTGTCCGTTACCGCTACGGTCGTTATTCAAGAATCGTTTTGCAAAGATGTAATCCATGTCGCCAATTTAGATGTGCCAGTGGAGAATGTACATTGAAACGATGGCGATGCAATAACGTGAAAGATTGTACTGATGGAAGTGATGAGGTAGATACAAAACAAATCTATTTTTATGTTTATATTTCATAAAGGCCAAACAATTGCTAAAAAAGCTACGGTAGGCATCACAATTCTCTTTAAGAACATTTTAAGGAAAATCATTTTGTGTCAACTCGTTGTTAATCATAGATGGCATTAATTTCATTTGTGTTTCTTACATTATTAAAGACATATTGAAGTCTTACTTTGCGCTGTTTAAACAAGTGCTGTCGTCTGTTTAGGTTGGTTGTCGTAAGTGCCGTCGTAGATCATATCTGTTTGCTTGCAGAAGTGTAAAAAAATGCGTTCATAAAAGCAGAGTTTGTGACAAAATCAACAATTGTGCAGATGGATCTGATGAAGTTGGATGTCCAACTCCACTTGGCAACAAATGTGGACCAAACTCCTATCGTTGCCGAAATAACAAGTAATGTCTCTGCTTATTTTAAGTCATTTGCAGGAATATGCACATGCACGTGAATGAAATTTCAAATTTGAAGTTGGGTATAAAATGCTGAAGGCCATTTCCTGCGATTACTTCATATGCCTTTTTTAGTCAGCTTTATAGGTGCATTACTCAAGAGAAAAGTTAATGAGAACATTCAATTTGTGAGAAGAAAACAAAAAATTGATGCAAGTCTACCAGTATTGCTGATGTTAAAAACACTAATTGAATCGCCTCTATTTTAGCATGCAACCTTTTGAATATTTACAAAACTGGCGCACATGTCTTAAATGAGTTGCTCTTCAAGACATCAGCATATAATCTTCTCTCTTGATGTATTTTATTTAAGAAATAAAAGATGTTTACTGTGTTTGCACAGGCTTATGCAAACTGAGTAGACCTTTGGGAGAACTTGAGAGCAGATCAGTGCAAGCCCGAGACCAAAGGTCGAAGGTTGCACCGGCTCGAGAGTTAGCTGCTACCCCTTGCGGAGAATTTATTTCCAGCACGCCATTGACCTGAATTAAATTCAAGAGAAGTTTAAACCGTGTAAATTGAATATAATATTATGTATGTTTTTGTTGCAGGTGTATTCACTGGAGATTTGCATGCAATGGTTATAATAACTGTGGAGATTGGTCTGATGAAAAGGTTATTTCTGTAAAAGGTATGGCCTTCTGAGACGTCGTTGTCGTGGAAAATTAGGTAAAAAACGAGACGAAATTCCCAATGATGAAGTGAGCAATGATGAAGTGAGCAATGGTGGGGATGGTGAAACAGGAACTACTTCCGGCTGAATTTGAGAACTCGCTTATACTCAGGATGAGGTAGTTTCACAATTACTTTGCATTAGCGTGTAGTTTATTGATTGACTTGTAACTTTTTTTTGGCAAGTTAATCGTTATCTCAAATAAATACCTGCAAAAATAATGGTGTGTGAACTAAGCTCAAGAAAACAATCAAAACTTTATCTCGGTATCCCATAATGACAACATGTGGAAAACAGAAACCTTACTAACTAGACAGAACATTTCCATATCTTGATTATTTCACTTATCCGGTGTCATGCGCAATTGCAAAGTTCTTGTCACCATGGCGTAAATTCTTTGTCGACAGACGAAAGACTTTCTTCTACTAACACCTAAAGTCTTAATCAAAGCTTCTATTGCATTATATTTTAATTGCAATATAAGAACAATTTTGTTCCTTGCTGTTTTCAAGAATACTGTTTTTGGATTACAAGTTAATCCTTTCGACTGTACTTAACCTATTTTAAGTGATTCACAATGCCTACTCATTTGTTATTTCTTTTCTATTAAGTCGTCATTGTAGTGCAGGCCAACATTTTTAATGCTATTAACGTGTATTGTGCTTAGAATCTGCATAATGAAATTTGCTTCAATTAAAGGAATTTTACACACTATCAAGTAACGTGTGTTACCTTATGTCTTTCTTACAAAAAAAAAGCTCGCAACACAACATCAACATTCTTTTAGAAGTTAGTCTAGCCAGGTATTTCATGTTACAGTGACAAGCGTCATTATGTATGAGTCAAAACCAAGTAGCCTCACGACGACGAAAGTTTTTAGTGCATGTTATAATTTATCGTACTATAATGCTTATGTTGTAAAAACCACGTAATGTGCTATATTGATAAAGAGGCAAATGAGAACAGCTCAAAATTTATCTACTCATGCGTAGATGGTGATGATCTTCACCAATAGAAGGCTATGAACAACGTTAACCTTAGGCAGCATGTCTAATATATATACTAACCTATTGAAGCCAGAGGAGGAACCACTAGTTATGAAATAAGTTATTATTTCTTATTGGTGTAGCTTACATTAACGTTTTGGTACTTTAAATATCCTGATGTAATCCAATCAAACAATTTTTTACTGGCAAGAAGTTTTTTTAAGCTTGCGTAAGTTAGTAAATTAGAATTATTTCCTCGATTTTTTTTGAAACAACTTTGTTGAAAATTTGAACTTGCACAAATTTTTTCTAAAAGCTTCTCTCTGCGGTTGATTTTTATTTCGTTCTTACGCGTATAATACCACAATGTGTAAAATGAAAAACTATTCACCCTGATCGAATGAATATAAATTAGAAGAGCTTATTCGATTTTTAACGAGCTGCAAAATGACAAGCACCCCATTTAAAAGAATTTTAATCGGTGATCAATGCGTAATTACAAAAATCATGACGATCTTAACACCAAGCATACACAATATTACCTGGGAAGACAAACAAATATTGCCACGTCTTAAATAATCTTATTGCGAGGGAATAAATTGATCGTCACGACCAAACTCAACATTCAGTGCATGCTACTATTGAACATTTTGAAATACCTATAAATATTGACTGAACTAATATTGAATTAATATAAATGAAATACTTATGTTATATTATGTTAATATTTTGTTTCAATGTTGAATAAATTATATGAACTGCTGTTTAAATGGTGAGAAAATCCTTCATGTGCAATAGCGGTGAGCCTTTAGAAAGCTTTCATCATCGTTTCTGCTTCTTTCTTATTATGTTGAATTATTATAATCATTAACCAAGTATACAGCATGCACGCCAAATATTGAAGACAGGCTGTCGAAATCATGTTTACAAATGATGTTACTTGATAATTGTTCAACATCCACCATTAGGAAATGATTGTGTTTCCACTAAAAGAATTTAAATATTTTAAGACAAACTGGTGCAGTTTAAACTGCTATCTTCAGTCAGCGATAAACAGTATTGTATCTAATAAACAAAAAATAAACTTGCTAAAATGAAGCTTGAACAACAAATAAACTTGATAAATGAATCATTTATTACTTATTTGCTGCATTTATTTCATTACTCATTTGTTGTAGGTCTTTGAACTAAGATCGATTGACAGCTAAAAACAGTCTCATGAACATATGAATAATGATAAGTTTTAACAAAATAAATATTATATATAACTTTGCTGTTAGCTTTCGTTGTTCTATTTTCCGTATTATATATGGCAATAAGAATTTATTTTTGTCGTTGAGAATTAACCATTCATGAAGTAGAACTAATTAATTTTTGTTATTTAGCTATTGAATTAATTAAACTTGCACATAGAGCAGTCTGATTTATTTTTTTTATTAAAAGCTTCTATAGAAAGTTGTTCAGCTAATTTAGTTTACACGGCAAACGATATTTTCTACCCAATAATGTACAATTTCACTTTTAAAATATCGAACAGTTGACAAATTAAAATATGGAGCAGAGTAAATTCAAGGTTCGTAATGGCATGTTTATGCATGTGCATTGTTGCAGAAATAGAGAAACAAGAGCAGTTGATGATTCTGTTTTTGGCAATCATTTATTAAGCAGAATTAATTTAAATGCTATAAATTTCGACAACTATAGACGGTGGTCAAAGTCGCTATAACGATTTACTGTTTTGTATAGGGATTAAGTATACCGATGTGAAACAAATAATATCATGCAGATGCTGTTGATATTTCTGTCTTTTTGACATCAATTCATGAAGAAGAACTAACCTAAGTTTCACAGTGATTGACATAACAGTTTTCTATTATGCATGGGGATCAACTATGCCTGTCTGAAATGGTTGGAAATCATTTCTATTTTCGCGACATTTTAAGTGAAAGAGGTCGTTGTGTAAATAATACAGGACACCTTTAGAAAGCTGTTCAATCTTAGGCACAAGCTTTAAGAAGATTTGATGCAGTATTTACTTTTTTAAGTTTACTTGCATTCATGCAATTTCACATCGTGGCTATATTTAGTTTCATTTTCGGAGTTTTATGGAAAGTTTCATTATCGCATCAAGTCGTGTCTCCTACTAAGCGCTAGGATAACTTTCTTTAATTCTTTTGTTCTGCCCCTTTTTGACTACGGCGATATAATATAGGGAGACCGGGGCAGCACTACACTTATGACAGATCTACAGATCCTTCACAATAAGGCTGCGCAAATCATTTTAGATCTTCCCCCTACTGCTTCCGCGAGGAGATGCACTTTCAAGGCTCCGTTGGAAACCTCTAGAAAGGTGGAGAGCTGAGCATCGTGCTATTTTCATGTTTAAGGTAGTTAATAACCTTTTTATGCACACTTTTCACTGCTGTTAGAACAGTAACTATCATAACTATAATACACGATCAAAGCGAAATATCCGCAAATCATTCGCAGACAGAAGATGGGGGCACTGGATAACAATAAATTTTGCAGCGGACGTTTGGAATGCCTTACCCCTTTCCATAAGAGATGTGCCCACCTTAAGCCAATTTAAGCGTGGTATCAAAAAAGCACTATTTTAATTAGTTTCGTTTTTAGCATGTTAATTTTCAAATGATGTAGTTTTATCTTCATATTTTTCGATTTGTATTCTTTTTCTTTTTATTTTTAAGTAGTTATATTATATTTAGTTACTTTTTAGAGGACCCCTCTGTAAACCACTTTTTAGTGATGTTGGCATCCTCAATAAAGATTAGCTATTATTATTATTATTATCTGTATTAACACTGATTAATCAAGTAATAAATCTTGTTTAAAAAAATCAATGTCTTCTGTTTCAGTTTGTCCATTTGCTCCGTCAAATATATGTTTCTCCAGTTCTTGCACGTAAACTTGATTAATTATAGTCCGTTTACGTTTTGATTAAGTTCACTTAGACTTTTAACAACGATTTGATTACATCTTTTTCATCAATTTCCGATGTAGCATTACCTAAGAAAATTAATGCTCTTTAATTGTTCGACATCATGTCGTCAAAGGGTGGTCAATACGGCACACATCACAGTCTTTAGCTACAAGACTTGATGTTATGTATCCTATTTATTTCTGCATAACACTTTACTAAATTATCTTGTATATTTCTTTCGACGTTGCGGCTATGGACGAAGAATTTTGATGATTTGAGAGCCTCATGCATGTATGCATGTTATAATCCTTTGAAAACATTGCATTTCAAAAGAACTTTCCAATTCCAATCTTTCATCAAAAATTTATAAATGCATTTCTTTCTTCAAAAGCACGTCACTTATACCAGCGCGTCTATAGCAACAGAGCACTCTGGATAGACGCTGCAGAAGAGAACAGTTGGTCGAAGAACACTCAAGTATGTGCTTCTTATAACTAATTTTATATGAAATCAGAGCTTGTGGCAATATTTATAAAGATCTTTACGTTATACAACCGCAAAAGTCTTGATTTTCTTTCACAAAAATTTTGTTTGGCTTCGTGCTTGCCCCACAAGTGTTTCAGATGAACCTATATGGTAATTTTACTGTGTCTACTGCAAACTGCTGCGCAATTTTTTATTCAGATTTGTACACTTGATCACTATGACAGACGAATTTTTATGGAGAGTACTAGGAAATTTGTTATCAGGGCTTTGGATGTTATAATGCTGTGAAGTGTGGTGGGGTTGATATAAAAGGTTAAAGAAAGAAACAAAAAAAACAAATTAAGGTTTTTATGTTTCGAACTTAAAAAATGGCGTATAAATCATTTTTTGCTATTTTGGAGAGTTTATCGTATGCACTTTGCTGTGCCAGTTCTTTGTGAAACACAAAAGCACTCGAGTAGATACTTCAAATACCGTTTTAAAAATCACTTTAATTTAAAAATGCCAATAACTGAAGTGTATATACATTAAAACTGCTCTTTTGTATAGAAACTTTGTTACGATTATGAGTGTGTTTAAATTTTTCATCGCAACTCTAACACTGATCGTTCTGGCACAAGCCGTTATTTCCATCAGAGTATTCAGAAGACGATATAGAAATCCGTATAGATACGTCACAAAATGTAAACCGCAAACCGAGAAATGTGTTTCTCTCAGATGCAGCAGATTTTCAAGAACTGTCCGTCTGCCGTTTAGTTACAGTTATGCCTGCTGCACTGGTAATATATACTTTATATAAAGTCATGTTTAAATATTAATCAAGTTAATACAAACTTAATAAGTTATGAAGGGATTGTAGAGTGTTTTAAAAATGTGGGGATAGATGCGTATACATAATAGCATATAGTGCTATTATGTATACGCATCTATGTATAATGTATAATCCCTCAGCTAATTATGTATAGTTTTATTTCAAGAATAAATTACGACGTTTTTGTTCAATCAATCATTGACTTTCTTAACGAATCTATTTCTCAGGAAGATTATATGATGAAAGGAATTATGTCTGTGTCCGTTACCGATACGGTCGTCATACAAGAATCGTTTTGCAAAGATGTAATCCTTGTCGCCAATTTAGATGTGCCAGTGGAGAATGTACATTAAAACGATGGCGATGCAATAACGTGAAAGATTGTACAGATGGAAGTGATGAGGTAGCTATTTTATCATTAGTGTCTAGTTCAATATTTATAATAAAACCTCTATGAGTTGGCATAGCAACAATACTCGTGAGTAGTATGGATTTTTCTCGCCTTATTTCAAGAAAATTAAAATATCACAAAAAATTTCGCTGGAAAATAGTCTATTCAACAGTTTCGGGTTTATTATTTGAAATGCTTGCAGCTAATACCATGTAGCATATTCGCGTAAATTTAAGTACAAGCGGTTCATCAATCATTCTATGCTTATCGTTATCAAGCTATTAGAAGTTACTGAAATCAGTACAAAGAATATGTTAAGAACGGCTCAATTTTAACCATATATATAGGATTAGGAAAGAAAATGCTTTTAATAAGAGTATAAAGCTCATAATTCTCGTCTTACTTGAAAATAGATTCAAAAAATTTTTCTTCCTTTTTATACCCATGCATAAAAATAGCAATATAATATAAATAATGCATATCGGTTTATTTTGAATAGCTGAAAATCGTGTTTACATTAGTTGGGCTAAATTTTAAAAGATTTTAAAATAATCTTTAAAATACTAGAAGAAAAATATCTATTTATCTTCTTATTTCAAGCAACCATCTTTAGTTTGATCAGTTTTAAAACTTTTCACACGCATAAAACGCTTTATATACGTTTTAGATTTTGAAATTTTGTAAGGGAGGGAACAATTACTATAAAAGACAGCACATTTTTTTCAGAACATTTTAAAGAAAATAATTTTGTGTCAACTCGTTGTAAATTTTAGATGGAATTTATTTCACATTTGATAGTTGCATTATTAAAGAAATACAAATGTCTTATACATTGTGCTGTTCATTAAAGGCTGTCGTCTGTTTATGTTGGAAATCATAAATACCGTGGTAGAACATATTTTTTTGCTTGCAGAATTGTAAATAATGAAATTTAAAATAGCCAATTTTAAGGGAGCTACTTAAATTTTTTTATGTATTTTATGTTTGTTTATTACATTAATGCTTAAGTTGAGCATTGTTCAATACTTCATGTCTGTTTAGGTTGGTTGTCCTCGGTGCATACCTAATTTCTTCACTTGCAGAAGGACAAGACAATGCATTAAAAAAAGGAGAGTTTGTGACAAAATAAACAATTGTGCAGATGGATCTGATGAAGTTGGATGTCCAACTCCACTTGGCAACAAATGTGGACCAAACTCCTATCGTTGCAGAAATAACAAGTAATGTCTCTGCTTATTTTTAAGACATTTGCAGGAATTTAAAGTGCATATCCATGTGAATGAAATTCCAAATTCTAAGTTGGGTATGCTGAAGGTCATTTCCTGATATTATTTTTTAGTGCTGTACACACCTTTATTTTTCCAGTCAGCTTTAAATAGATTCATTGCACAAGAGAATGGTCAATAAAAAAGGAAATTTTGTCAAAAGAGATCCAAGAGACCAAAAAGCCTATCGACATTCTTTCAATGCAAGTGTACGAAAATGGCTGTTGTAAAAAACATCTTTTGAAACGCCTTTATTTTGGCAAGCAATCTTTTTAATATTCGCAAACCTGCCGCAAAGGTGAAAGGCACTTTGTTCGTTATGACAATAAAATTAATTCAAACGCTTCCTTATTTTGCTCTCTCAAAAAATTTTCCTTGTAAATGATCTTACAGTTTTTTCCTTGAATTTTATCTTAATTTTTTTGATTGTTAAAGGCGAGCAAATTGCACTAAATATAAGTGAAACGCAAATTAAAAAAATAAAAATTCCTTATTTTGTTACAGGTGCATTCTATGGAGACTTGCATGCAATGGTTATAATAACTGTGGAGATTGGTCTGATGAAAAAGGTTATTTCTGTAAAAGGTATGGACTTCTGAGACGTCGTCGTCGTAGAAGATTAGGTAAAAAACGAGACGAAATTCCCAATGATGATGTGAGCAATGATGAAGTGAGCAATGGTGGTGATGGTGAAACAGGAACTACTTCCGGCTGAATGTTTGATTTAAGAACTCGTTCCCCCATAATATGATTGTAGTTTTTTATTTATTTTACATTAGCTTGCACTTTTATTAATTTACTTGTAATCTTTTTTGGAAGTTAATAAATATCTCAAATAAATTCCCACAAAATTTTATGTATGAAATTAGCTCGAGAAAACAATGAAATTATTTTATCTCGGACCTGTGTATTCATATAAACAACATAGTCAAGCTGTCGACGCTTGAAATATAATCGATCATGACAACAGTAAACCGACTTTCACACCATTATACAAATGATTGCCAGTAGATTTTTAAAGATTTACAGGGACTGTGGAACATTTAAGTAATAAGACAATGAAATTAATTGTTCTTCTAACACGTATTCATGATTGATTTGCAAATTCTCTTTGATTGATTGAATGATTTTAATTGGTTGAGTTCAGATTGGTTTGCACAGACTATTGCAAACATAGCCATAGATTAATTACTGCATGCATTTTACTCTTTTTATTTTTAATGATAATTTGGAGGGGGGAGCTCATATTTATATACTCATATGTTGGAATTTGAGCATTAGCTAAAATTGGAGTTAATTCCAAAATTAAAGTAGCTACTACAGCTTCGATAATAAAAGACCAATGACAGATAATACAAAGAGTGGGAGACATTTGCTAAAGATGGTTCATGCAAATATAAGCAAATGATTTTCAAGACCATAAACTATCATTTCAGCCATCTAATTTGCACTATCGCAGTAAATAATTTAATAAAGAGGTGATTGAATTTTTGAAAAAAAAACTCTACAACAATCTCTCTAACTATAAGGTTTCTTTGGGTTCAAAACTAAAGACGAAAAACTACTTTATTTGATTTGGAAAATTGAGCTTGTTTTTAGAAACATTAGTTTTGAAAAAAATTTTATTCAGAAATAGTCAATAACCTCAGACCTCAAAGTTTCCTTTTACAGAGTATCGTTTGTTACATTTTTATAAGAACATGCTTAGTCTGAAGATCAGTATCATTGTTTTATGTGGGTATTATTGAGTACAAAGTAATGGCTACATATAAATATGACAGTTAAGTCAGGGAGCTTCTAATATAATAATCTAATCATTGTTTCTCTTTCTCAGTCTCCACAACTGGAGTCTTTACTCCACGCATTTCCATCATTATGAAAAAGGGATTTTTATTAAAAATAATAAACCTTAAAACTTTTTTATGTCAAAACACAATGCGCCGTATAAAAATATGAAACAGATCTGTGAAAGCATCAGCAATGTTTACATTTTTTACCACGTGACATGCAAAACCACTTACACGTGCTTTCTTTGGTGTTGGGTTGCTCTACTTCTGATGCTACTTAGTTGCTCAATGGGGGACACTTGACTCGTGCTTCTGTTGAAAATTTCTGTTTAATCTGCAGAGTTTTCTAACATTAACAAGTTGCTATTATTTGTAGAGACTACATCCAAGAAAACTAAATTATCTTCATGGAAGACGTGTTGACAACAGCATTGAAATTCAAATTGGGAATCATTGTGAACAAAACTCGTTCATCGTTAGCAGCAAACTTGAAAAAGGGCGACATAAGTTTGTAATATGATAGTTGACAAGTTTGAAAATATTAATGAGAAACTAGATTCTCATGCAAGAAGCAAATTATTAGTTTTGTCAATTTTATGAAAGATGGAATGCAAATGTTAAAAAAAGTTATCGATGAGCGTTATCCATCGAAATCACTTGAAAGTGACAACTCCAAAATGATTTCTTCCTATGGCGGTGTCATATTAACGGAGTTTATAGCATATCCAAGGGGTCTCCATACTTTACAGCCAGAGGGCCACATGAACTTTCATCCAGCATGTTGAGGGCCGACGAATATGAAAAATTTCCACGTTATTCTTCAGCTTTTTAAATTTCGCAGTGTGCTTGAAACGGAAGTAGGAAGTTGGGAGAAAAATTGACGTTAGCCACTCTTGCTAGTTGGCTTGCGACATAACGTGAACTTTCTGAAAAAAGTTTATTTTGTTTAATAATATTACCATTTTTTCTGAAGTGCCTCTGCGGGCCGGATTGAGAAGCCCAACGGGCCGCATCTGGCCCGCGGGCCGTAGTTTGGAGACCCCTGGCATATCCTAACAAGTAATTTTGCTGAAATGGTAATTAAAAATAGCAAAAAGATGTTTTCACAACTACCATTTATTACAAAAATATGCCCAGCATGTTTTTACAATTGAAAAAACCAGAAAAGAAAATGTCGTTAAAGTACGCCATTTATCATTTTTAGAATTACTAGCAGCCATAATACTCAACTCTGAGGGTTGGATAAAAATAATAAGTATTACTATGAAGACGGATGAAGCGACTCTTTATTGGAGTTGAAAGGTAATTCTTGACAATGCCTGCTGTATTGCTGTTAGCCTGAAAGATCTATAAAACATACAAAAAAATTTTAAAGGTAGACATAGAAAGAGAAATCTTAGCTACAACATGTGATAATCTTCTTCAAATGTGATCTTATCATTACTATGCCACAAAATTTACACGTGCTAAATAACTAAAACATTGGCAGTGCATCAATAAATTTTTTATTATACAGAAAGACTAAAATTTTCCAACACAAGCTACTAGTGGATCAAACAAAACAGGCCTCCCGCACGAAAATAAAGAAAGTCATAAATATATTTTATTTTTCCTTCTTGAAAATATAAGCCATTTAGCCTAGTTTATCAAAATTTCAAGCAATTTGGATAACAACTTGAATTTTTAGCGTTTTCCCTAATCCAATAGAGTTTGCATCGGCAGGTAAAAGAAACCTTGGCTTTAAAAATTCTTCATATCATACTCAATCTCATTCAATAGTTGTTGGAGATTCGTTCGAGAGCACACGTTACTATTATGTTTAATAAAACCAAAACGACAGTCGAGTTTTCGCCAACAAATTATGATTGGTCACATTTTATAAATTTTCATTGAATAAAATATCAACATGGCGAAAAGGAAAATTCCAAAAAATTTTGAAATTGTAAAATAATTGAATTACCATGTAGCTAGTGTATACAACATATAGTATACAACATAAAGTATATATTTGTATGAAGATTAAAGAACAGGAGGAGCGGCAAAAATAGGTAGACTATGGAACAATTCACGTACATCAAAAGTTGTCCTCCATATAACGTTGATAATTTTGCCCTCTATTTGCCTGTAGTGCAGCACATTAATTTGAATGCAATTAATACACGATGCCGTTGTTCTTCATTCTTTCTTTTAGAACTACAAGCATTTTTTTACGTGAGCGTTATTATGCGCATATTTGTGCTAAATTATGCTGGTATAAGGCAATATCAGATATGAATGATCTCTGAACCTTAATTGTTTTTATCGTTTGTGTACCAGGCTATGTAAATGATAGATAAGATTTAATCCTAACTTTGTAATTTTATTGAACATGAGTTTTAAAAAATTCCAATTCTGAAGATCTCGTTTTTGTGAGTAGCCAATACGCATGCGCGGCTTTCCACCATGCTAATGAAGTGTCTAAAGGCTGCTGTTGATATTCGGTAGGTATCGGCATACTCTCTTTGCCTATCATTTCACTCGAGTTTATACCTTTATTGATCCATTTTCTTTGTAAGGTGACCAATTTTTTCCATCATTACTGTATGAAAAAGTATAAGTCTTCTGAAATCCGACCCCAATGCAAGATCCTTGAGTAGCTACCCCAGTTATTATTTTAACTTTACCAAAATCAACTTGATGCCAAGAGTTCATTCTGTTTCTTGCAGCTGGAGCCCAAGAACACTTTGATGAACTTCTTCTCAATCGAGCAAATGGCGCTAGATACTTATCACTAGACACTGATGACGCAGTTATGGCCCTATCTGGTATGTTACCATTTTCCATTCCTAGTGGCTTTGGATTCTTGCAGACTGCAATAAAAGAAATTGAGACGTTCAATGTTATACATATTGCTGTAGTCTGAACCTTGTATAAATGATAATTTTCTACAAAAGCAAGGCCTAAAGCATTTGTGAAATTGTAAAGTATATTGATGACACTATATTGTACATCACAATTGGCATTTAAAACACTGCCCAAGTATTGTATGGTGGATAGGTCTTAAAACGTCTTATAGAATGCATTGCATGTCTTTGGTACTTATTTTAAATATCATACTGTATTTATTGCACATTTTTAGAAATGTCATGTGAGGTACTTATAACATCCAAATCTTGTGGTAACATCACACACCTGCTCTTGGAAAAGAGGGCTGTGCAACTTCACATTGCATTGTAGAAGCAAAATGGCTATATGTGTATTTTTACTACAGGTCTCTTTGCACTGTAGAGCACGAGTATCTATATTGCAGCAGAAGGAGCCTCAATAAAGTCGCAAATAGACCTTTTGTATTTTTCCTTTTCAGCTTAATTTGTTATTAATGTCACATGTTTAGACAGAAAATTTTTCTAAGACGGCCAATTTTTTTTCCAACTTGATGTAACAGTATTATTTAATTACTCTGTGTCAAATACTAATTTTATGTTTTCTATTATTATAAACTGAAAAACCTATATTTCAAAATAAGAAGCAAATGTGTGGCGTTTTATAATGCTCTTTGATTTCTCCATTGCATAAAATACAAAGAAAAGATAGAGCTTTGAAATTAATTCCAATAATTTATTTGATATTGCCCACACTTTGTTCTTCCAACGCCTCTGATTTTCATACATGCAGAGCAGTAAATACATGGAAAAATAATTATCTTACACAGCATCAGCTCACTAAAATTGTGATTATAAATTCATCACCTATGACAATGTTATAAAGCCATTTTGAATTTGAAATTGTTAGCTGTAACTTGTCTTGCCAAACCCTTGATCTGCTACTGCATGAACATGCTTGTTTCATTTTATATTTCTATGGTAAAAATTTTATAACGTATACCAATATATATAAGCATATTTCTCACAATGCATGCGTTTTTACACTTTCTATCACTAACATATTGACATATTGTGTTTTGATTTTTATAAATTTAGAAATTACAAATAATAACTGTTAGCTACAGGGTAATCTGCGTAATGATTGCTAGCTCAATCATATTTTTGACTGATGCATACTTTTTAAAAAAAAATTCATCTAACAATCAAATACTATATGAAGTACTTTGTTTCAGTGGCATTTTCCTGTACAAAACATTTATAATTAAATCTTTAATAGGAAAAGTGACATAAAATAGCTTTACGTGCTGAATGTCAACTTTTATTAAATGATAGCTATCGCATCAAACTGGCAATGCAAAAGTCGTTACCTAAAACCATGCCTTATCTGATTTAAAATGTTTTTTCTAACGCACAGGTCAAACTCAATGTCTTAATATAGGCTTATCAAATTAGCTTTCAATCTGTTGCGGCTTAATGCGGGATATATGTTCTTCAACTCTAATATAAAGCTTTGGGTGCTACGGTTTTCTCTCATTGAGAAAAGTTGTCAAGGGGCAGAGCAAATAAAGAAAGCTGGACCCTCTTTGGAAAACAGCTATAAAGTTAATGATGAACGTTACCTTAGGTACAGCAAATCAAAAAATTATGTTACATTATAAGACTTTTAACCTGATAAGTTGAGACACCATGTGTTGTATGCTTTTCTTGCCTTAGCTAAATTTAATATGGCATTAGAGCATTGAGGATTGAGGCCAACTACACATACCACCTTTATGCAAGCAAGCAGGACAATGATCCATTTACACATCATGTTGAATGTCTCTTGAATTGTGTATACGTTCTTGAAAGTTGATCTTTTGATTTCATTCCATAAAAAAGTATATAAAAAAGTAGACAATTATAAATTAAATATATGTTTAGTTAACTTTATACATTTATTGAATGTCTCATTAATTATTGTGAATTTGTATACCGATACCTTATATTCCTCTAAAGAAGTCAGTGTATATTCATTGACACGGTCTCCCAGACCTCTGTCACCCCTTGTCATTGGACAGACTTCACCCGTCCCCCGCCCCTCCCAGTAGTTATGCTACTTATAAATTCACGAGGACAACAGATCACGCGAGTACTCGTAGATTTTTTCTATTGCTGCACAAAATATTGTAGTTTTAGAGCGACCATGTTGTTAACACTAAGAAAAAATCACAAATTTGGACTGTTTCACATGCTAATGTCCTGTATCAACGAAAATTCGATTTGAATCATCAAAGTAGCTAAATTGCAATTGTAGACATTTACGACATATTTGGCAAATTAAAACACGTTGTTTGTTGAAGACAATAACTTCAAACACAATTTAATTACATTCACGTTAAAAGTTTTTGTTCCACCGAAGATAAATGTATATACTTTTAAAAGATTGCACATACTTACGTTGTATTTTAACAGCTTTTCTTTTTTCAAATAGTTTAACCAATGAGTTCTGTCTCAACGTGATGACCTGTGTGTAATGACAAAAGTAATAAACGTGAAGGACATTTATAATTTCTGAAAATGACGAGCAGTATCCACCTCTAACAATTTCCTCCAACAACTTGCTTTAACGGATGCTATACGTAAATGTAAATGAAGATCTGTGTTTTTTAACTGTAGAGAGACTTTTTCCTGTTAAAATATTTACTAAGAATTGTTTGCTCAAAAAAACTGCTATGAACTACTTCTCTAACAGTTGGTAATTTTAGAATATACATCGCACTTTTGCATAAGACTCGGTCGCAGCAAAGAATATTTAATAAATTGATAAGAAACAAAATAAATTCATCTTTAGCGGTGAATTACTCCCTCTCACATCAAATAATTCCATGATGCAGATTAGATGAAACAAATTTATTTAGTAGTCGCGTCCCCAGTCGCTTTGGCACACTCCAATTCTCTGCTAACTACAAAAAATTGGCCAAGAGGTTTCATTTTTTGAAATGTTAAAAAGTATGAAAAATACTCTACGACATCAGTAATTACCGTAGCTGCGTAAAAGCACTATTGATATTGCGCATTTAATAAAAACGACAAGTTTTTTTAAAATAAACATGTTTCAACATCTCATGATGCCATCGACATGATATCATCGACACTGCAGATACTACATTCACACTCAAAATCAAAGAAGCACTTCACATTAACAAAACTAACCCTAATCTCAACGTTCAAGTTTTTCGTTTTAACACTATATTCAGCCCGTAAATACTTTCATCATTAAGTCTAACCACTATTTCATTGTAATATAATAATCTATTCATAAGTGTATAAATTGTATCACAGTATCATATTACTCATACATATTCATCACATACATAATATTCCTTATAATACTGAAGATGGCATCATGAGATGTTGAAACATGTTTATTTTAAAAAAACTTGTCGTTTTTATTAAATGCGCAACATCAGTTTATACAGCTATGTGGTGTGACTCAAATGTTTTCCTCAAAATTGTATGGATATTTACGATAGCAAAAGCCAAATAGACGAAAAATCAAATGATGTGATTAGTGAATAGTTTAATATAGAAGTAATATTTTCAAAAGCATGTCATTACTTTAGGATTTATATGTAGATAATACTTTGAATCTTCCAGGAAACGGCGAGTAAAACTGTTATGCCATGTTAATTTTTTGGAAGGAAATTGAGATCCAAGATAGTTTAAACGTGGCATAACGTTTTACTTTAGTGTGTACTCTACGCTACAAGGAAGATACACAAACCCAACTAACATAGGTATTTCAGTTTATTACTCTGAGTAAAGCTACAAAAATCTTATCGAATTGTTGGTTCGGAATATGTAATTGGTACCGTAGATGATAATGTAGATGTAAAACAACATTGAAATTAAGTCAAAGATATCGACGATAAAATATAAGTAATATATGTTCATACAAAATGGTTATTTCCTTTAGTTCCGAAACTAATATTTTTCATTGACGAAGATCGTTTGACTGATCTGTCGTGCAAACATTTACAGTGCTATGTGTGCATTGCAATATCAACTGCTGAGGCGGATGTTATGGAAATGGAATGTAAAATAGAAAAGTTTGTCAAAATAGTCACCTATTTAATCATCATAGTACATATTACAAAAGTTGTAAAAAAGCGTCTTAGTTAACAACAAGAAATATGAGAAATACCAACAGCAAGACTAGTTTGCGAAACAAAATTGAGCTGTTTATTTAATAACTATGATTTAGCTAACTCAGCGTCTCATTTGTTAAAAAAGCAGTTAACTTCTGTTATTATGATCACAGACGTAATATGACATTAGCCAAAATGTTTTCCTAGTATTAACCCTAACGTTTTCTTATACTTTGGATAAGTTATTTTAAATTTTGCATTGTTAACTGACTTTTAAGACGCAATCTTAACAATTATTCTTATATTGAAAACTTGAAGATGAAATTTAGAAATTAAGGAGTTCATAACATATGCACTATAGTCTGGTATAAGCATCCACGACGACGAAATACTATCCAGATCACAGTTTATACAGGCTAAATTAGGATTATAAATTAGGATATAAAACATAGATGGATGAATTAAATTTTAGATTATTACAATTAAGGCTGAGAGAAAATTTCACAAATGAAACTAAAACCGAAAACTTTGCCTCCTTTGCACGATTGGTAGAGTTGATGTAAATCAATATTCAAAGTACACAGAGACGTATAATTTCAATTCGTTTATCCAAGTCGCTCACACGTTAGCTCAAACTAAATAATAACTTAATCATGCAATGTGGTTTCAAAATTTCATTATAAAGAATTTGGATCAATATCATTAAAACTTTCATACAATTGAGGAAGCTGAAGTAGTTTTGTAACTATGTAAAGTAATTCAAGTATCGGGGCCGGTTGCACGAAGCCTGGATAGCATAATCCACTGGATAGCGAAAATTTTCAAACTTGTAAAAAAGGTATTTATATTTTCCTTTCTACAAAGAAATTTTGTAATCTTCGAAAGAATATTTTATTTCGGTGATTGCACTGTACAAATCGTTTATTTTTCACTTATAAGAGATTTTATAAACGTTCAGAAAAATTTGCTATCCAGTGGATAACGCCATCCAAGACTCGTGCAACCGACTCCTGATCTTTTAAAGTGATGTGATCATTTGATTTAACTTGAGCTTTCTGTATATAGATTTTTTGTGGCTCACAGTTTTAAGCAAACAATTAAACTGCTAATTCATTTCTATTTACCTAACATAGGATATTAAACAACACTTTTGCTATCTCGAACCCCACACCCCCTAAGCGTCTTGACAAATATAGTGACAATAAAAATATGCAGATGTAGTTTGTGGTGCAGTAAAATAAGCACAGTTTAGCAAAACTGTTTAAAAGTATTTATGGCATTAAATGTTTATGCAAACTAGCTAAAAGATAAGGTTTAATACTTTCTACTGCCTTTCTAAAAGCAATTTACATTGACGTATATTGCTTGAGTGAAACAAATACTTGCCGTGGAGTCCGAGTTTGTACATGACATTGTCAATTGCTCAGACGGATATTAAGAAAGAAATGAAAGATGGATTTTGGTCGAAATAGCTTGCTATATTACAATTTCTTGAATAATATTAATAAATATTGAAGGACTAACTACATATTATAGCTACTTATATGAACTTTAAAACATAACTATTCCATCGTTGAGTTATTTAAGTATTTTGGAATTATTTTTGTCTATCATTTTTTTTTTGTCACAGCAGCCAGTTATGTACAGCTCATATGAGGTATTATGAAGCGCATGCACCCTTGGTTTCACCCTTAGAATACAAGACATTTAAAATTGAATGGACAATATTTTCCTGAAGAATACTCTTGCTCATGTAGTTCTTATATTTGTTTCATTTGAAAGTACTACAACTGTGTACAACACATTTTACTGACAGCTGAAAGCTTATGTGACCCAACATTTCATTTTTTAATATTTCTCGTTGTCATTCTAGATGCGTATTTTGAATTGTCCTCTATCCCAAAGTTATGTTATATAATTTTCAGCGCTGTCTAATGTTATAAGCAGGCAAACAAAATCTGCTAAAACTTAATGGAGTCGTATGTTTAATACCGATGGTTTAGCTAACACAGCTTCTTATTGGTTAAAAAAGCAATTAGCTTGCTGCCATTATGTTGACATAAGTAATATGATATGAGCTACAAAAATTCAAATGGAAGATTGGAATAGTGCAAAAGTTTTCTTTTACTTTGCATATGCTATATCCAATTTTGTGTTATTACCTGACATAAGAAATAATCTTATAGAGTTTTTCTTATATTAAAGACATAGAGATGAAAATAAGGAGTTCAAAACATGCGCACTAGTTAGATTTATTGTAATATAATATGATATGAGCTGCTTAATAAAATATGTCTGTAGCAATACTGTTTTCCTATACTCTGGATAACCTAATTTTAATTTTGTGGGCGTTTACTTGTCATAAAGCAGAATTTTAATGATAATTTTGAAGACTCGAAAGTAAAGTGTAGAAATTTTTGAGTTTTATAGTCGTGTAATATATTATTAGCATCATCATGCATTGAGGAAATTGAACACGGAAGTATCTCGTAAAATCTGTTTTTTGTCTTGTTTCATGTCTTGATTAATTGTCTTCCGAGGACATCTAATGAAAGGGCGACAAAAAGATGTGATTGGTTAAAAAAGCAATCAAACTTTACCTTTGAAATTATAGTCCGGCAGGTTTGTGCATTTTTATGGGAGAATTGTGGGTTATAGGCTTAAAGCACCAAATTTAACCCATTTCTACATTTTGACACGCTGAAGAAAACTTTCTATGGACCCCATCGTGAATGTGCCTGTAAACAGCGAAAAACGATTCCTTATTGAGACGTCGTGTAACGTCACTAAATAATTTCTAAAATTGTTGTTTTTAATGTTTGAAAGCACCAAAACCACAAACAATTTTCAATTTTGACTTGTGAAACAAAACTTGCTGTTGATGCTGGTGTGATTGTATTGCACTGTTTTAACAACAGTGAAGAACCCTGCCTTTATTGCTGCATTACATGACGTCACTAAATAATTACAGACTTGTTATACGTCTAATACAGAGACGTTTTCACTTTCACCGCATATGAATTGCTAGAAAAGGAATACTGAGTAATATTAACACAAGAAAAATTTTGTTCGCATTAACGTAATCTTGCCAGGGACTAACTACCTCATGAACATAATGCTGTGCACGGCATGCTGGCTTGTACACACTTGAATCGTCCTGTGCAGCCCTTTTCGTTTTTGCAGACACATTTGAATAGGTCATGACAACATTTGGAATCTTCCGGGACCACCACACAGGTTCCGAATTATATGATGAATCTTGTTTCCAGCCCCATATGTTTACATATGGTAAAGTTGGTGAATGCCCCGTTGACGTACCCCAGACATAGCCAGCTATGTATACTGTTCTCTTAACATGCTGTAACAGAGCATCTTTTGTGCATGGAATATGTTTGATAGATCTTTCTTTCCGTGTGAATAGACCTTTGCGCGAATAAACATTTGTTTATAACACGGTAAATTATAGCATGCCACCTTATGGCTACAGATTTCCCAATCATTAAAGAAATCAAGTGGTAGTTTTTCGTCCAAAATTTCCTTTTGGGATCCATGTTTTTGACAATAGTTCCCAGGCCCTCTTGTATATCCAGTTAGTTTAATAGATATCAATGGTAAAGACGATCTCGCGAGCGACATTTCAGTCATTGATGTTGAAAAGCAAATCATCATTGTTTCGATTTTCTCAACAGAAATTAACATCCAAAATCGTAAGTAAAGGACAACTGAAGTGCATTCATGAATGTCAAATATCAAAATCAATTTATGAGAGTATGTGATGCGATTTATGACAATATGGCGTATGGTAAGAGATTGATGCTTCTAAAATTGTTGTTGCCGAAGGACTTTTAGCTATACGTGGCCTATAAATGTCACAGCAACTTATGTCAGCAATGTTAGCTAGACAACATTCAAAATACATGGCAACATTACAAATGCACAGCAACTTTTATAAATTAACGACAACATTTCAAAAGCTCGCGGCAACATTTAAAAAACTCACGGTAACATTTATAAACTCACGGCAACATTTATAAACTCAATGCAACATTTCAAAAACTCACGGCAACATTTAAAAAACTCGCGGCAACATTTGAAAACTCACTGCAACATTTAAGAATACGATGTCTATGAGCATGAAAATTATGAACAAAGCAGTTTTTCAATCTTAGAACTAGAAGGTTAATGACCAATATTCATTATGTTGCTCGAAGCCGAGTAAAAACAATGGAAGGATTATATATAACTGAGCTCTGTGAAAGTAAGATATCTGTTGATGAAAAAGTTGGGAATGAAATGCAGTTATTATGCAATCAATACAAGTTAGATCTTTGCTTCACTCCTTTGTATGTCGAATCCTTCTGACTTAAACATATGTTACCTAAATACAAGATCTTTACACAACATGGGGGTCAATCCTGCGATAATTGGGGACCATATTCATATATTCAGTTATGCCAGGCTGATTTTTTTTAAAAAATGAAATTTTTTTGAAAAGAAATTAGCCAGGCATAGCAGAATATATGGATATGGTCGCCCCCCCAATTAAGACAGGATTGATGCCAATGTTACACAAACACATTGAAGATGTGCAAAAAAACATAAATTATTCATCTGTGTATATCCTGATATTTAGTGAGTCAAAGTTTATCTGTAGCGATCCTAAAAATGTGTGCAAAATGGAAGGCTATATTCCTTTTTGAAATCATGCTGCTTCCCATTGCAACCGTTCATATTATGGTACAGCTGTTTACTATACAAAATCAATATTAAATGGATATCCTTGTGCACAAAATGTAAATGGCATGGAGTTTACAATCATAAAAACATTCCAATGCGCAGAATGAATTATTGGAATATACAAATCACCAAGAATTCCTAACTTACAAATTTTAACAGTTCTACGCACCATCCTTCAGGAAAATTTCACCAACCAAATAATAATGATGGGAGATTTAATGTGAATTGGCTGGATGACACTAATCGACAATCAATTTACGACCTTATGATTATTAATAATGGCCCTTGGCAACTAATAACAGATTACACCACAGACAACAAAACTTTGATTGACCACTTATACACCAATGTAAAGAAAGATGAGCTTCAAACAGATACTCTCGAAACTTACTTCAGTGACCATAAGGAAATCTGGGCTTAAATTAAGGTAAGGAAATGGAAGAACCCATTACTGTAATGAGATGATTTTTAAGTATGACCATTGACGACTTTTAATAAAATGATAAATGAAGACAACCGCCTCATTGACATAGTAGACAAATAGCGTACAAAATATTCATCGGTCGACTTGCTTTTCATAAACAAAAAGGTAAGTAATTTACACTTTTGTTCTTCCGTACAGTTTATTCATTGTCATGATTATTGTTTTTATTTTTTCTTAGATTGCTAGCAGCGTATTTTACAATTAACCCCATCAAACGAATCCTAGAACATCAAATAGCTCAGGTAATTGTTTCTGCTGTAAATTAACTGGTTTAATAATCTTTTACTCACTCTATTTTGAACTTTTATTCACTATAGTCTTCAAAATGCTTGGGTCTGCTCTCAATAAGGTAAAAATTGTATCATTATCATCATAAGTGAAACTTCGATTATGAAAATACCTCGTGCCAAAGGAATGAAGTTCATTTAACAAAATTTGCATTGTGGAAATGCTTATAAATTACTGAATGATAGACTCCATTACGAAAATTGAACAAAATTTGATTATTAGTATGTTCTGTAAAGTGCCTAACAAACATCTTTAAATGGTTGTATAAAGATGAACTTAGCAACGTCAAGACAAACAAAGCAAACAAAACCAACAAAAATTGCAATCATAACAAAACAGAACTCCTTAGCCACTCTTTCATAAATTTGGAACGTCTTGGAAATTGATGCGATCGTTCATGGAAAAAATGCTGAACTGAAAGGTCTAGTCTTTAGTTAAAGAGCATTCCAAAGCTTCTTAAAACATCCACAATGGCAAAGAGCTATAGCATGGATTGGAAGATGCTCAACTCATTTTTATAGATTCAGATAATTGGTCTTATATCACACATGGTATCTTGTCACAAGCCTGTTGGCTATAGACAAATGTCAATACTTTATATTCATGTAGCTATTTGTTATTTTGTAGCAATGTTGTCGATGTGTGATTGTGACGGTTAACCTCAGCGAGGAATATATTTTGTAATTAACTATAAAGATGTTTGTGAAAACTTACTTGTTTATTTTGATGCCTTTAAAGTTTGATGTTGGGTACGATAAATATATGTATAACACCATTTAAACGTCTTCATAAATTTATTTTATTTCATTACTTGTGTCAGATATGTATTAATGTGTAAGGGCGTCCAATCAAGCTGCCCAAATGTACACTCTGCGTACCTTCTTTTAATGCCTGCATTAAAAGTTTAAAGTTTAAAGTTTTAAAGTTTAGACTGTGGAAAATATGATTTCGAAAAAATTTCGAAAAAGAAAAACAAAGTTTTTCTGCGGTTTGAATTAGCTTGCTTTTGAGTAATTTCCGCGCTTCTGAGGGACTTAAAACGAGAGGTTTGTGACGTCATTTAAGGAACGTTTGAATGCGCTGCATACAAAACAACACAGTGTGAAATAACAATTCTTTATATATTGCTTTGAAATTAATATAAAAATTGTACGAAACATGTCGACATCCGATTCTGAGTCGAGTACAGCAACAACAGCGGAAAATATTGAATTGAACAGTCGGGAATTCGATTTAGAAGACGAAGATCAATCGTCATCAAATGCGCTCCGAAACACCGATGGCGATTTTGAGTACGGCCAAGCTGAAGCGTATGAAAACGAACCACTTGCTGATGATGACTGGTTAGAAAACTATAATAGAGAGACAGAAGAAGAAAGGCGCCAAAGAGAAGAGCTCGAACGCAGAATGCAAAATGAAGTTCCTCTTGATTCTTGGTAAGGAAAGTTGGAAAATTTGTTTATTGTTGCCGAAGCTTTTGACAGATAACTTTCGTAGCTGCAATTGTGGTAACTGCCGTGTTCCTCTCTTGCTTAATTCAAAAGAATGTAGGTGTTGCCACGAAATTTCCAATTGCATGATTGAAATGCAAGATCATATGGTGGTATCTGAATTAGGAAGGCAGCCAAAATGCATCACAGAGCATCCAGGATTTGATGCCATTTGTCTCAATCGATGGGCATTAAATTTAGCTGCCAATCTTTACCAAAGACGAGATGGAGTTAGATATCGTAAAGAATTCTTGGAGCAAAGGTTTGTTAGAATTAATAGTTAAATGTCTCTGTCTGGGTTATCTATGAATGCACACCTTGCAAAATTTGTATTTTATGGACTCTTACCTGTTTTAATGGACCTTGTGTATTATGCCTTTTTCAGGTTTTTTCGAGTTGTTGCATATAGACAATTAACAAGAATGGTACATGGCATTCTTGAGACAAAGAATTCCACTTCCAGCTTGTGCTTACCATGTTATTCGAACAACTTTTAATTTAAAAAAAATGAACACTTTGCAGAGTATGAAGAGGACCATTTGTAAAATAACATAACATTATATATCATTTTAGGTGTTGTTTGCATGAGCCCAGCTAGTAGGGATTCAGTGAAGTGTGGAATGATTTAAGCCACTCTTGATATATTGCATCTTTGATTCACACTTATACTTGTTATACAAAACATACAAAATTACAATTCCTTTCTCTTTATTCTTTCCATGCAGTCAATTCACACTTCACTGAATCCCAACTAAGTGGGCTCATACCACCAGGTCCTAAAAAACTGGTTACTTTTGGTTTTTTGGACAGTTAATTATATTTTTATGGCCTTTCATCCAATTCTTGCACACAGTGCATCGAGGTGCTGCTCTCTCATTTTCCTGATTAGTGATCTTTTCTTGGACAGGTGAAACTTCAGCCATATCAAACAATAAAGTGAGTCAGTTCCAAAAATAAGATTGAAATTAACTCAAAACAAGTAATGCCTTTTTGTAAAACCTGGCTTAGTTGGGGGAAATGTACAGCTGGCATGCTTTGTCTTCTTGCTTTTTTCGAGATAGCTTCACTTTTTGATTGCTTGTCCAACGTAGAATTCATTGGCAATGGAGCCATTCGTAAAAGATCACCTTTGGCTTTTTCCAATGTTTCCTCATCAATGAGTGCAGAGCACAACACTTGATATATATCTTCAACATACCCTGGAGGAGCAATGTGCAAATTATTCAAAATTTTATTTTATGGTAATCATTTCTTATTAAGGCTTTGATTATTATGGCATTTAACACATGATATCAGGCAGTAAGAGAAATATATTAAATAACCTTACCAAAATCCTGAGCAACTTTTACATTTCTTACAACAGCTTCACCATTTTTAAATTTTGGATAATGCACTTTAACCTGGGGAACTCCATTAACCTCTTGATTATCCCTGTCCAAATTTCTGTTGAAGTGAGTTACAGCAAGGATATGCCTTCATGAAATATAAAATTGCATTCAATTTCTTGAAAGAGTTTAAATTGGCACAAGGGAATAAAAATTGTAATGATACATAGGTGTTTCATCACACATGTTTCATAGAATACCTGCAGAACATCCCAGGAAAAGAGTAGCTTATCATTTTGGGTGCAAACTGGTTAAGAACTGAGTGAAATCCCTCCAATGCACTTGTTTGAGACATTGGAGAAGCTTTCATGATTCCAGCAATCAACCTTGGTTTAGTTAAAGCTGCACACATTTTATTGTATGATATAGATCATATCTACATTTAAAATAGCAAATAGGTAAATAATTTTAAAGAAGATAATCACATAATTCAAAGAAATGTACCTGCACAAGAGAAAAACTAATGATTTGAGGTATTGTGCAACAGAATGTTGTATATGCACAATATTTGGCACTATGTCCAATGGAATCGTGTCTTCCATCCCCAGCAATTGCAATAGGCTGTTTACATGCCATCACTTTCTCTATCAAACTGTCTTGGTATTTTTCCAGTAGATCACCAATGCAGGATATAGTTTTTCCTACACAAAATTTTAAAAGACTTTCAAGATTTTCATTTGATTGTGGTAATTTCTTTACAACTTTCTTTAACCCCATCGGATAAGTCTTACTTACACTCTGGTGAGAGAAGTATGTACTCAATGAAATGCATGCCAATCCCATGTGCTGTAGAACTCTGATCACCTTTGTGGCAGAGGCTCCAGAAGTCAAAATACCAAATGACAATAGCAAATTTCCAGCAGGAATTGAAGTCTGCTCCACATTTTTGATTGGAACAACTAACTTTCACTTTTGCCATTGAACCATTTTGCAATATTTCAACAAGAACATCATCTGATTTGCAAATTGGGCAGAATTTGAAAAGTGCAAACAGTTGGGTGAAGAACGCAATGAATTTTTTCTCTGTTCTCAGGTTGGTGTCTTTGTTGAGCACTCTACAAAAGAAAAAAACTCAATTTATGAAATGCAATAGTAGCTATCAATAAATACAATTACATACTGGCACACATTATTTATGTCATCAAGGTAGTGACTGATTATATAAGCTGTTTAACTTTGATTTATTTAACAATCACAACTATTTAAACATTGCCATGATGATTGATACATTACAGTTCTCATCCAAAAATTGTTACCATTTAAATGTTCTTGGCTGCTCTGATTCAGAGTCGACATCCATGTCACTAGATGTGATTATCTCTTCTGTCTCAGTCTCATAACTTTGTTTAGCACCAAGATCACTCTCTGAGTCTGAGTCACCACTAAGATCATTTGGGTCCAAAACCTCCTCAGCAGGACAACTATCAACATCAACCACTTTGCTCCTAGTTGATGATTCTTCATTGCTGCGGTTGTTGTAATACTCATCTATGAAATAAGATACTTCAGTAATGCGCAGCTACACAAGGTTGATTAAGTCCATATTTCCTAGTAATTAACTGCAATAATTTTCCAGGGGTGCGTGCGAGCTTAGTTGATAGTATTGTAGAAATTGAGGTTATTAAACATGGCTGATCCTATTACGTTGGCAAATCTTCTCTTGACCTTGAACAATACATGAAATAAAATTAACAGGCGTATTATCTTAAAAAACACTTACCCATTGCAAGCATATCCATATTAGAACTGCTTGCATAAGTTCTGCTACACTGAAGCTTATACTTTGCCCCAAGCCATAAGTTCCTGTAACGACGTTTCTCTTTCTCAAGTTTTAAACAATTTTGGCATTGTAATTCACATTGCACAGCTACTTCCTAAATTAGAAACAACAGCAATACATATACAAAAACAATAATTTACGTTAATCTTTACAGCAGTGGCGTAATAATCATATAAGTTTACCTTCTCTAATACAGGTTCATCACAAGTTGTTTCTTTCATTTGCTCTTGAGGTTCGCTACTTGTACTGGGAATATTTTCTGATCCAACCTCTCTTATATAATCAGAAATCCACTTTCTTTTCATCTAAAATGGCATATATTTATGAAATATACTCTCACACAGATTCCAGGTAAAAGGTAGATATGCATATGCATAATTTTTAACGTACTCACCATTCTGCGATCTCTTGTTGTAAGTTCATTGTCATCTTTTCGAGGATAAATGCTCGGGTAAGCAACGATTCCGAATTCGTCTCGAATGAGTTGAGGTGCAAAATTACTTTCTGATTCAAAAAACGAGCCGAATTGCCGAGAAAACGAATCTTTTCCGACAAACTGCGGAATTCTTTGTAGGGACCCACTTATCGCGAGCAGCTTTCACAAAGTTGACCCATCGCTTTCTCCTATGCTTAGCTTCGCTTCTTTCGTCGTTATAAAGTGGTATGCGATGAAGTGAAATGACTTTCTCCGAACTGGCTACGTTAGAACAACCAAAAACTACACATCGATCTGGCATTTTTGTGTTTGTTTACATGCATAAAAAGTGTAAGTTGTTTTGGTAGTTAGTCTGTATTCCTTAAATGACGTCACAAGTAAGTCCCATGCCACGGATTAGAGCTCTCGACATTTTTTACAAAACGTTGAAATTCAGGTTTTATTCGCACCTTTGCCGAAAGATAACTCAAAAACGAAAAAAGTTATTCAAATTCTGTAAACGGCATTTATATTATTTATCCAAAATCTATTTGTGAATAAAAAATTGAAAATAGTTGTATGTGCTCTTTAAGAATTCAGATTATGTTCTCAAATTCTTTTAATCAACTTCATTGAAGTGCAGATAAAAGCTTTTCTTTTTAAATAAATACAACTCATTTATATTTCATTCTCACGCATATAGTAGTGTACTATATATTCTGTGTGTAATCAAGAAAAATCACCACCTTGTTGGAATGAATATGTATTACAAGAGCCTATTCGATTTTTAACGAGCTGCAAAATGACAAACTCCCCATTTATAAAAATTTTAATCCTTGATCAATGCGTAATGTGCGTTATCTTATGTCTTTTACAGAAATATGACGCTCTCAACAGTATACATAATATTATCATAGAAGACAAACAAACATTGCCATGTCACAAATAATCTTAATACGCGTGAGTCAATTGATCGTGACGACAATAAACTCAAAATTGAGTGCATGCTACATATTGAAATACCTTAAATATCGAAAAATACAGATTATCGAGTGTTAAACAAGTCTGTATAACTATATGAGCTAATGCTAACATAACCTAACGTCACATAACAAGTCAATGGAGATTTTCTCATTACAAAGTTATAATGAATCTGAGTTGAGTTGTAAGCTATTATATATTTTAATATACGCTGTATATATACTGATCCAGTCAATATTTTGTACAACACGTACTGCTTTCGTTAAAAAATGCACTTATTAGATTGGTAATAAATAATGCCTATACGAAAGAAACAGAATGAAACATTATTGAGTGCATCGAATTGTTTATCATGATAATAATAATTCAGCCCATCATTCACTAGCAATGTACTTCGCGTATTTGTACTAAATCCCATATTCAATCCAACATAATTTGCTGAGCATTGATTATTCTTTTACTCTGCTGCTGATAAGTCTATGTCAATATACCGTGCATATATAACCATAGTAACGTTAATGTCTATTTCGAAATAAGCTAGTATGCAAATATTCCTAGCTAGATGTGTTCATTGAGTGCAAAAGCAATTAAATAATAAAGAATGTATAATACAGACACGTAGCCTTCTCGATAATTCCATGGAAGGGGAGGAGGGTAGTATTCATTACGTAAACGTTGAACAAGTACGTTTTTGCTAAAAGCTAATTTAAGCAATATCAAAGTTAATGGTTTGAGACCAGGAGTATCGTTACATGTTTGTTAATGTAGATCGTCCAGGTTGGAATAGTCCTGAGAAGAACTGTTTTTTGTTGTTGTTGACTGACGTTTCGACAACCTTAGCGGAAGTCATCTTCGGAGTCAAATGAGGAGTAAACGTCAGCAATATTCTTGGTATAAAAAATCTCATTTCATCTACGTACATTTCGTTTTTCTGTGTGTGAGCTGAGTTGCTAGCAGAATAAAAGTTGTTTCGTTTAAAAGGAATTTTTTCACACTATCTAGTAATGTTGTTTCGAATTCAATTATATTTTAAAAATTGTCAAATAAATAAGTGAATTTTTCGTCCTTCCGCCCCACAAGTACCAAGCTGGCTGGTATAATTCCTATTTTGCGTATTAGGGATACATTCAGCTATAACATCCTGTTGGCTGGTGCAGTTGTAAGAACAAAATTTGAGGTTGTTGTTATTTGTCAATGTTTTTAATGACATCGTGGAGAAGTAGAAGACAATCTAAAACGGATTAAAAATGAAAACTATAATATTGGTAGAAAAATTCATTTCATCTACGTAGATTTTGTTCCTCCACGTCGGAGCTGAGTTGTTGGTAGAATGGAATTTGCTTTATTTAAAAGGAACTTTCATACACTATCAAGTAATGTGTGCTATCTTAATTATGTCTCACAAAAAATACAAAGCTCTTCAGGTGGTCCAGGAAGATATTGCCAAGTCACAGTCACAAATAATGTCATTACGTAGGAGTTATTTTTAACTTTTTTGGTTCTTGTCGCGACAAAAGTCATCAGTGCATGTTACCATTCATTACATTATAATACTTACGGTAAAATACAGATTTCTTTGAGATTAAAAATTTATAGAACTATATGAACAAATGCAAAATGAACTTAAATACAAAGGCAGTCACTAAAAGAACGGCTCAGAATTTATTAATTTATACTGGATAGTGATGATCGACAGTACTAATGCATTAAATTTGATTCAACTCATACCAACATGTCTAATTGATGCAAAGCTATAACAACTAAACTAAAGCAGAATGTGGAGCCACTGGTTCGAAAAAATACTATCATTTTTTTCTTGTTAAGCTTATATTTATAACGTTTAAGCATTTTTACTAGTCCCAACGTTAGTCAATTTAGCTATTTTACCAGCGAGTACTTTTGGATGCCGGCAAAAGTTAAGAATTCGAATTATCTTCTCAAATTCTCTAAATCAACATCATTGAAAGTTTGAACTTGAATACAAGTTCTTGCCAAAAGCTTTTCTTGGTAAATAAAATACAGTTCAATTATATTATATTCTCACGCATAGTATTACACTGTGTATAAACAAGAAAAAACATCCACCTTGTTGAAATGAATATATATTAATTACAAGAGTGATCTTTTTCAATCAGCTACAAAATGACAGAGACCTCATTTAAAAGGATTTTAATCCGTGATAAATGCGAAATGTGTGTAACGCTCTCAACATACATAATATTATCTATGAAGACAAACAAATACTGCCAAGTCACAAATAATCTTATTACGCCGGAGTTAATTGATCGTCACGACTAAACTCAACATGGAATGCATGCTACCATTGTACATATTAAAATACCTGAAAAACCAAAAAATACGCTTTTTCGAGTGTTAGACAAGTTTGTATGAATAGATGAGGTAATGATAAGCGTCAAATAACAAGTCCTTGGACATTTTTCTTCTATTACAAAGTTATGATCAATCTGAGTTGAGTTGTAAGCTATTGTATATTTTAATTGGCGCTTGATACTGATCCAGTCAGTACATTGAACAACACGTAATGCTTTCAATAAAAATGTACTTATTAGATCGCTAATAAATAATACGTATACAAAAGAAACAGAATGAAACATTGTTGAGTGCATCGAACTGTTTATTATGATAACAATATTTCAGCCCAACATTCACTACCAATGTGCTTCTCATATTTAAACTTAATCCAAGAATTCAAGCCAATAAAATTTAACGAGCCTTGAGTACTCTTTAATCTGTTGCCGATAAAATCTGTTTTAATATACTGTCCACATCTTATGTATAAATGTAGTAACGTTAATGTCTAGTTTGAAATAAGCTAACATGCAAATATTGCTACCTGTGTTCATTGAGTGCAAAAGCAATTAAATAATAAAGGATATATAATGCCGACACGTAGCCTTCCCGATAATTGGAGAGGGGAGGGGTATATTACGTACATGATATGCCATATTAATTTTCTTTCGAATTCAATTATATTTTAAAAATAGTTAGACAATTAAGTGAATTTTTCGTCCTTCCGCCCCACAGGTACCAAGCTGGCTGGTATAATTCCTATTTTGCGTATTAGTGATACATTCAGCTATAACATCCTGTTGCCCGGTGCAGTTGTAAGAACAAAATTTGTTATTTGTCAATTTTTTTAATGACATCGTGGAGAAGTAGAAGACAGTTTAAAACAGATTAAAAATGAAAACTATAATATTGGTACAAAAATTCATTTCATCTACGTAGATTTTGTTCTTCCACGTCGGAGCTGAGTTGTTGGCAGAATGGAATTTGCTTTATTTAAAAGGAACTTTCATACACTATCAAGTAATGTGTGCTATCTTAATTATGTCTTACAAAAAAATACAAAGCTCTTCAGGTGGTCCAGGAAGATATTGCCAAGTCACAGTCACAAATAATGTCATTACGTAGGAGTTAATTTTAACTTTTTTGGTTCTTGTCGCGACAAAAGTCATCAGTGCATGTTACCATTCATTACATTATAATACTTACGGTAAATTACAGATTTCTTTGAGGTAAAAAATTTATAGAACTATATGAGCAAATGCAAACTGTACTTAAATACAAAGGCAGTCACTAAAAGAACCGCTCAGAATTTATCAAGTTATACTGGATGGTAAAATATGTAATGATATTTTTTTGACTGTGACATGGCAATATCTTGATGGACTTGCTGGAGAACTTCGTGTTATTTTGTAAGACAAAGATAGCACACATTAGTGTGTGAAAATTCCTTTCTATGAAGCACTTTCTTCCAGCAAGATACTGCTCCAGTCAATAATTGCACTGCACGTAATGCATTTCTTTAAATAAAGTACTAATAAAAGCGTTTGGCTTTAATTAAGTAAATAATACGTATTTGAAAAGAACAAAAAATTCGAACATCATTGGATTCACGACATTCAGAAAATTAATTGTTTAGCATAATAACAATACTTCAGTTCGTCATAATGTGTTTGGCATATTTGAATCATATTCCGGCCAGACTATATGCCAATAAATTTGCTGGGCTTTAAGCTTTCTCTCTGACAAAACCTATGGACAAAACCTATTTTAACTTACCATTTATATAGTGACTTTGCTATGTAATTTTAAATACGCTGTATGGAAATATTTTTAGCTGTGTTCATTGAGTGCAAAAGCAATTAAATAATAAAGGATATATGTATAATACTTATTTTGACCAGAATTGGCCAAGTAAGCCAACATCCTGCTGCATGTTCAACTGTAACAACAAAATTTGAGGTCGTTGATCGTTGTTAAAGTTTTCAACGATAACGAGAAGAAGTATAAGACAGCTTCAAAGTAGATTTAAAATAAAACAAATAATAAGCATTCATAAATAAAACTAGAAGTTAAAGCTAGTGGGAGTTCCATTGAATTTCATTCTCACCGTGCCGTGAAATCAAAAATATACGTACGGGCTATAGCTAAATGCCATGATCGATACTATATAATATTTTGAAGCTACGTTTTCGTTAGAAGAGCTCATAAAGGAGTAAATTTTCATCTATTTACAAGTGAAAGTTTTTACTTTCTGCAGGAATGCCTAGATGGAAAAACCAGAATTGACGTTCATTGTGATATCATCAGGTTGCATTATTAGTTGCCACGTTGAACAAATTTTGATTAACAAAGAACAAAGAATGTGGCGTCCTACATTGCACGAACTTCGTCAACAATGACATGCACGTGATATCCTGTTTTAAAATTCATAAATGCCTTTCTTTTTTCAAAAGCTCGTCACTTTCAACAGCACTTCAATAGCGACGGAGGTATCTGCATAGACGCTTCAGTAGAGAAAAGTTGAAGAAACATCACGTATGTGCTACTTATATCTAATTTTTACATGAAGTCAGGTATTGTGGTTATACTGCTTTAGAGCTACTCAATTTATACAATCCCAAAAGGCTTGATTTTCTTTTACAAAAAGTTTTGTTTGGCTTCGTGTTTGTTCCACAAATGTTTTGGCGGAGACTACAGGGTACTGTACTGTATTTTCTACTATAAGTCATTTTGGCATGACTTATTTATTGCCAGAGAACTTGTTAATGTGCCTGCATGTGAGTTGAGTCTCATCAACAAGGATTGTATGCACATAAGATGTCCTTTTATATTATAATAATCCTAAAAGGCTTTTCTAAATTAATCAAGCAAAGGCAAGTAAAACCTATAATGTTTTAAAACTAAACTGCATATTTTCCCTTTCTAAGCAAACCTTTAAAAGGTGACTGTCGATAAAGGTGCAATGAATTTTAGAAAGTCAATTCTAAAATCAGCGCTCTCTTTCTCTATAAAATTAGAAGTACTTTTCCTTTCAAATATAGATGTACATGTTTGTGCATTCATTGTAATCATTTTTAAAGAGATTATTTTTTAATAAATTTAATAAATAATTATTTTTTTATAAATTTAAGGAGATTGGTCCGGACATTGAATACTAAAAACAAATATACATATTTTACTAAATTAGTTTAAATTGCTTGCAGAGAAAATCCGCTGCTACGTGAACCAAATCTTGAGTGTTTCATCGTTTATAAACATATTTCACTTTACTAGATGTTACACATATTCGAATCGTTTTGACTTAAAATCTATCGTTACAAAGTTATACATGATATATAATTACAAGATTACAAATGTTGGGATACCATAAGGGCACCACGTGATTCAGCTCTAAATACTTTGATACAACATAACAGCTATTATTAGCATGTAAATTTACCCTGTGATGGATCCATAGTTAATAAGAATACAATGTATATTGTGGGCTTACTGAAGCATATTTATGAGCAAATTATGTATTACCAATATTTTTCTGTTTATTTTTTCGGATTGTAAATAATTACTCGAGTTATTCTACCCTGGATTCTTTACTGGTATTTGCAGAGGTTGCATTCGTTAATTTATGCTTCTTTCCTATGAAAGCAGTTGACCATTGTAGTAGTACTATATTGTGAACAATGTCAATTCATATTAGTGCATTATAGCTTAAAAGGCATTGAAGACTTTGCATATTCAGTAATTTCATAATTCAGACTACCAATTGCAAAACTACCTTTCAGTCTTGTTCTATAGACAAGTAAAAACACATCAATAGCCATTTCTTTTCAAGTGTCTTTCCACTAAATAAAAATTCACACAAACAAAAGCAACGTTCTTACATGCAAATTCTTACTCTTTTGCAGAGACCTTTCTTTCATTATGAATGCCCTTCATATTTCTATTGCAATTTTATCACTGCTCGTTCTTTCACAAGAAGTGGATGCTTTGAGATTTATTAGAAGAATAAGACGTGTACACGGGTATTCATACGTCACAAGATGCAAGTCACAAACCGAAAAATGTGTAAGCCTTAGATGTGGAAGAAGACGTGCTGTTACTGTACCATTCAGCTACAATTATTTATGTTGCAGAGGTGAGATATATTCAGTTTAAAAGTTTAAGGTTAATTGTATAATATACAAAAAATGTCACTATTAGACCAAAACATGACGATCGACTTAAAAAATAATTTGTAATATTATTAATAGCCATTTCCTTTTAATCAACCATCTATAGGAAGTTTGTACAACCAAATGAAATATGTCTGTGTTCGCTACAACTATGGTAGTCGTTCACGAATCGTTTTGGAACATTGTAATCCTTGTCGCCAATTCAAATGTGAGAATGGAGAGTGCACAAAGAAGCAATGGAAATGTAATAACATTAAAGATTGCGCAGATGGAAGTGATGAGGTATTTATCAAATGTTTGTTGCATCCACTGTTTGTTTTATGCCTCTTTGTGTGTAAACAGGATAACTCATAAGCTAACAAACTTTGGTGTCTTTTTATAAATCATACAAAACTTTTTGAATCCATTTTCCATCACTTACGTACCATCAGTTGATAAGAAATTGGTTGACATTTTTATGATTTTTGTGGAAAATTGTTCGAGAATAAAAATTTTCTCCCTATCCAGGGCAATTAAAAAGCCCATTAAAACAGAATTTTGTCCTTATAATTACCATGTATGCTGTAAATTGCTGTTTAGACAAGGTTAATAATTGGCTTTCGTCTGATTTATATGGACGGATATTTGCTGTCTCTTAGTGCTTTCTATAGTTTGAATTAGCGGCTTTCATAAATTTTGGTAATAACATAGTGACATTCTTAATCACGTATGCCTTTCATTTCTAAATTCTTTGTTTCAATTCTTCTCACGAAGAAAATTGCTCTTCCGCTCTGCATGCCTAAAGCGACCCCTATTACAAGACACTGTGAACTTGCAGAAATATGGGGAATTGTTAAAAATGAGTTTAGCCCAGAAAATACAAAAAAAATTTCACGATAACTATAAAAGGCATAGCTACATAATCATTATGGTTGTCTTAGTCAGTTTAATTGTAAAAAGACTTTTACCTCTTTACTAGGTGATTTACTAAGTTATTACTGATGTTAATGTGAATCTCGCAGCAAATTAAGATGATTTTTAGTTTTTTCCTGCCTAGGAACTGCTTCATTTTCACGGCAAAGCAGAACAATTTTACTCAAACCAAATGACAAAAGCATTACTGCCATTATGTGATAAGGATAGAGTGTATCTTTCTAAAGGAAAAATATTTTTAATTACACGAACACATTTCCTATTCAAAAGGACAAAAAGTGTGTAAAAAACGTACATACTAAAACTCGCTTTTAATACCTCCTATAGAACACTTTCAAAACATAAATGTCTGTTGTTTTTAAAAGAAATATTTTTGTGCCAACAAATAAGGTCTAAATTTTAACTCGTGGATTTATTTCACGTTTATTCGTCACTTTGTCAAGCAAATATTTAATAACTTTTGAATGAAGCAGTGCATAATATCAAGAATTATTTCGACTAAGGTTAATGTTATCT